TTCTCATCTTCGGAAAGAGAATGTACGTATGTATCATTTTTCAATTACTCTAATTTCTTTTCTTTATTGAATTAATCTGATGTTTCAATGTGAAGTGTTGTTGTTCTCATAGCCAGTTCCAAGATCAGTTAAACTTACGAGTTTGACTTTAATCTTCTTGCTCTTTACTTGTTACGCTAAACCTCATCACAGGTCAGCGGTCTTTCCTAAGAGCAGAAGCCAGATCAGCTATTATCTTATCTAACATTATCATCTATCAGGTCAGCGGTCTTTCCTAAGAGCAGAAGCCAGATCAGCTATTATCTTATCTAACATTATCATCTATCAGTTTTCACATAGGGGTGTTTGAATCGAGTCAGACATTTTCAACTTTCATTCTGTCATTCATTGATGACTTCTTCATTGCAGGTCTTTCGTCTCTCAACAAAACGAATGGAGGGTAATACCCCTTCCGGCTCATTCCTCCTCGCCGAGTATCTCCGAGTTCATGAGACTCTTTCTACTATGCTCGAAGCCACCCCTTTCCCCAGTCTTCAAAGTATGATCAAGACTATGTTGACTCAGCTTGAGAAGTATCAGGCCGAAGCTGTCAACGCCAACGTGATTGTCTTGGCCACCATCCTCAACCCCAAATACCGCCTCAAGTTCTTTGACTTACATTACTCTGACAAAGCTTCACAAGCGAAGGAGTCCATTGATGCACTTTTTCACTCGACTTTACAAGCCTGGCCTGTTACTCCACCTTGTAGCCCAGCTCCAACTCCATCACCTGTCCCACGTGAAGCACACGATCACTTTGACATATCTACCTCATCGGCAACTTTTCAAACTTCATCATCTATTCGGGCAGGCGAGCTTGACTCGTATCTCCAAGGAAACCATCCTATTGTCCCCGGCCAAACTGAACTATCGTGGTGGAGAGTAAGTCAAATCTTCCTCTCTAATATGTGGAGTTCGACCGCTGAAACTTGCTCTGGTAAAAGGAGAATGCTTGTCATTATCCGGTTCTTGCTTCTGTTGCCCAGGACTACCTCACCATCTCAGCCACGTCATGTGCGGTGGAGCGCACTTTCTCTTCAGCTGCAGATATTGCTGTTCCAGCGCGGGGATCGTTATCACCTAAAACCATCTCACGCAGTGTTGGATGCAGAGAATGGTTGCGCGCTGGAATTCAAGTTGTTGGTAGATTCTCTGAAGGGCTTGCTTATCTCGCTTCGTTTGGGAAATACGGCAAGAAGAAAACGCGCTCATCTTAGTTTTGAATTGACCTACTGAATATATGAATGTTGTTGGCCTTATTTTCGTTTCCTCAGTTTTCAATTTCTCTTTTTAATCTTTCGAGTATATCTCATACATGATTGTTCAATGTTTGTCTTGATCATTATTTTGATCTACTTTCATGTCGCGCTTTATATCCTTTATTTAAGTACTTTGTAGCTTGATCGATCTCTTGTCTGTCCCTTTGTGCGTTTATCTTTACAACCTTCAAGTCACTCGTTGTTTCTTTTATGGGTATGAGTTTTTTTTACCTCATTATCTTTGTAAAAAGTTTTTTTAATTGTGTATATTGCAAAAAAAAAATTGTGAATAGAACTGATCGCCCCGGGCCGCTTCCTGCCCTCCAAATTCACTTAAGCGGGGCGCGAGCGGAGCACATAAATCCACATGCCCGCCACGCTTCATGGATCATGTAGCGGTTTCGTCTTCAAAGCGGGGCGAGAGCGGTTTTGACTTAGAGCGGCATAACGCTGCGCTACAACTTTTTGGTGAAAAAGTGGGGCGCAGCGGATCACCTCAAGTGTTGGCTGCACGCAGCAGTTATGATATATCAGATATTGACGGATACCTGGTATTGTATGAGGAACTGAACCATCTGGAAATTTTGGGCTTTTGTTTGTTTATCTCAAGTATTTTGGGACACTCAAACTGACAACTTTCTTATTAACAATTTCAGAAACGTTTGAGATGGCTAATAAACAACCAAAACATTGTTCCAAATCAACTGAGATCAAACGAAAACAGGATCATTGAGATCGTTTGTTACTGAAGAGTACTGAGAAGAAAGCCAACATAATTCTCCACGCTCCAAAAATTATCAAGACTCCGGATGAATCAATAATATCTAAGCAAGCCAAAGCCCAAGCAGAGTACAAAGAGAAAATTAAAGAGAAGTTTGGCCTGCCTTCTGATACAGCCTTTTTTGACTGAGGAGATCATGGCAAAAACAATTTACTTGAGTTGAAATATGGAACTGTCGTCATACTTGATACGTCAGGAATGAAGTTGATTGCTGTGATCCGTTTTAATGAACAACAATACATTGCAGATAATGAAAGCGTGTTCAGACTGAGGCTAGTGAGAGACTCTTCAAGCAATTTGAGCAATCAATGTCAACTATGTATCAACATGGAACCGCACAAAATAAAATTAGAACTAATGGACCAACCATCAGAGTCCGGAAAAATAGAAGAGGTGATATGTTTGAAATTGGAATGAGACCTGGGTATCTTAAAGGACTGGCTGGAGGTAAGTCATTTGTACTACTGCTTATCAATTATTTCATTTCTGATTCTGTGCGATCTCAGGACTGTATCACATCAATCGAGTGACAGCTCGTTCAGTGCTACTTATGGACAAAGATCTCAGATGTCAAAAAAATCTGCCGTATATCCAGCACTTTCTAGCTGGACAATTCTCTCTCTTGCTCTTGGTGCCTTCCAGTCTAATGTTCAGCTCTGTGCTAGATACGGTAATCTCTCATGGGCTTCTAAATCGTTTTTCAACTCACCCAATGGAAATGCATTTGGAGCCAACTTTGTCATGACTCGCGATGAATGGCACAACACGGTTCACAATGATCGCAATGCAACTGGGTATTCTTTTGGAATATTTGGCTTCATTAAACGCTTGACAGGAAAGCTTTATCGACGTGGTAAGAAATCACGACATGGATATGTGAAGGATGGTTTCTTTTGGTTCCCTGATCAAAATGTTTGAGTATGTTTTGAAGCATGTGATGGTGTTGTGGAGATGGTCTAGGCCGCCGATGTCAGACGCCAAACCACAGAATCCACCACTCATGATTCCACAGGCCAACGTATCAACCCAAAAGATGCCGTAATCACTTGATTTGGATCATCATGTCAAGTTTCAAAGTCAATTGTTTCACAAATCAATGGAAGTACAAAGTTAAGAGGTAAGATGGATGAAGAGGAGTGGAAAAGCTTTCGTGAAACAAAGGTAGAAAATTATATAATCGACATTAAACGTAAATGTCAATTACTCAGAAAAATAAATTCAAGCCAAAAATGACAATCTTGTATCTACTTAAGAATTATTTTGCAATTATTGATCTTAGTCAATCTTCATCATGAAATTCACTTTAAGTTTTTCCCAACTTCTTCATCAGTTGATATATTTCCAAGGTTTGCTCTTTTTGGACTGACTATCAGTATTTAGCTGAGCTGTAATTGTATGTGTATCAATGGCAATTGTACAGTTGACATAATTATCATAATGCAAAATACAAACTGACATAGAAACAATTTAAAAGGAGTCCACAAAAAGATATTCAAAATTTACGCAAGAAAGAAATATCATCAAACCAGGTCTGCTGATTTCGCATGAGTGGAAATGATGGGCGCCATTTTCAGCATAACACACACTTGATTGCACTGATGGTCTTCCACAAAATGTTTGAATGCCCTTTGAATCTCGTCTGAATCTTCAACTAAATGTTGTGAGTTGCTGAATACATATCAAACAATTAGCGACATAATTCAATTATCAAAATGGGTAATTGACTTACTCTTTATCAAAACAATGTAAGCCACTAATATGACCGTTGCGATTGCAGTCCAACTTAACTACCAATGTTTTACCACCACTGCGATGATTGATGAAATGAAGAAACACGTGCACTAAATTCTTCCAACGTTTGTGTTGAGAATCATTTGATCTAAACTTGTATTGATGAACATAGCTGACATGCGAGGAGTCCCATGGAGCTTGACATACCACCCACGAACTTTCTTTGGCACTCAAAGCACCAATTGGCTGCAATATGTAAGTCGGTGAGACCTGGAAGGATGCGAGAGTTAGCAATGGAACTACTACAGCTCATGAGATTATCTTGATCTGACCTTGAGTAATTGACTCTCAGTTTGAAAATTACGAGATTTCATTGAAATTGCCTTTGCCGTTTTGCAGTCACGTAAAGCATGTTGAAATTGCTCCAACATCATTGCCACGTACACATTAGCCTGGGCTAATTCCATGGCCTCTTCCCGTGCTACGCTAATAGAGTTATCGGGCCATCTTCTATGATGTTTACCAATCATTGTATTTTCTACAGTACTGGCGTGAAATTCTATTTTCCGGAATATCCAGTTGTTGAACTCTCTCAGATGTCCCACAAGATCGGTACCAACAGCCTCAAACCCAACATATGATGTGGTTAATTCGTACTTTTCAGAGGGTTTGTATACTGGCCCCCAATTCTCAAAGTTGATTGGGCTGATGTGATAAAAATAACCACTTCGCATGTTGGAGAGCTCCGTGCGGGTCATATTAAACGGCATAGGATTTAATCAAAAGGTCTAAACGGTGTGTGATTGGTTTCTTTCTTAACAACAACCTTTGTTTCGGCAGGTGGTTTTTGTTGAACTTGAACTAGGCCAGATGGCAGCGCAGGGGTTTGTATCGCTTGTGGCGCACGAGCAGCCTTACGGGAAATTTTGTTGATGGTCGGAATGATATTGTATGTAGTTTTCATATCTTTTGGCGAGTCATTGTTCTGAGTTTGGTGACTTTTATGGTTGACCATACCTTGTCCACCATCTTTGCAGTAGTCGTTTTCCGCAGGAGTAGTTAAAGATGTGGCCGCCGGGGGGGTTGATTCTGCAGTCGTCGCTTCTTGTGACTCACTGACAGGATCCGAGTTAGTTAAAGATGAAATTCCATCATTGACATATGGTAGCAAAGCAGAAGTCATAGAAATGTTATTGCGAGAGGGCATGGCTTCGGGAGGTAGTAGTTAGGTGATTGAGGTGTGATCATAGTTTTTGCTGTGATAACACCTCTATATTATGGACAAGGCCACGGTTATACTTTGAACATCCTATGTGCATCACCGCGTGTGTTTACAGTTGATTGATCAATCATCCTCACTCACAGCTCACTCAATAAAAGTCATCCCGCGTAACTTAACAAAAATTGGTTACGTGACTTTCTTATGAACAAACTAATCAAAGCGGTGATAAATGCATGTTTGACTATGTTACATATGAGTAATGATAGAGAGACAGAGGTTTGACTATGATACATGTTAGAAAAGGAAATTGATGAGATCACATATTTATGGAAAACGGAGGCTTGTACCTATAATACATGTCACAGATCACAAGAAAGTTAAAAATAAGCAAAAACAAGGAATTATAATATTCCAAAGTACTAATCTGATAGGTCAAATTGTTGGCAATTTGTTGCTCTTTCTTGGTCAGCTTGGTTGCAAGCTCTATCCCATTGTGACAGAAATTTGGTTTGACCCTTGCGTACTGACTTCCCTCCATTGGAGGCCACATATGCTAATAGTGTTTTAGAAGTGATGAAGTGGAGCCACCGTCGATAACACAAAACGGTAGATGCCTTGTACTTATGCGTTTTGCTGAACAACATTTTGAATGCCTGCTCGTACACCATCTTTCTTGGCCCAATGGTCAAATGGTAAAAGTTGGACATCTCGTTCATTGTCACACTCAACGGCCAACTGGGGGTGTTGCCATGCTCGTCCTCGGATTCAATTTTGGATGAAGCGTGTGCGCGCTTGCAATTGGACTGGGCAGGCTGTGGTTGGGGTGTATCAAGCTCGTCAGTTTTGGAAAGCTGCGTAACAGATGGGCTTGGCCGTGGTGTCGTTATATCTTCTTCATCGTCAGGAGGTGGCCCTAGATTAGACGGTGGTGTAGCTTTTTCGCATGAAGAGGTGGGCTGTCTAGCTCTCAATGAAGAGGTAGGCGTTTGATGTGCCGGATGTAGCAGGTGGCAAGAGTCCGTAGATAACTTTGCTGAAATTGAAGCCAAGTGAGTGTCAACGGTTTTGCATTCCATAGGTTCGATACCAGGGAATGCGACTAATATTTTGCGCGTGTCTATGTGGTATTGTTCAAGAGTGTCCATTTCCAATAGCACCTAATTGTTACAAACAATTAGGTCAATTGACGTTAATAAATATGAATACATATACTGCAGTGAATAGATCTTACCCAGAGGTTTTCATCAACATTCCATACTTGTAAACACCCGCTGAAATCTGATCCTAGCACGTTGGTAACTTCTTTGGTGAGCTGGGCGGAGTGTTCTAATGCGAATTTCGGCCATTGAGGTGCAAGGACACACCAAACCTTGCATTCTAATGGGTCAGGCTATGCATATATGGTTTCGGGGTTAGTGTAACTCTTGTAACAATTTTGAATGTGTGTACAGACCTCAGTTCCCGGCCAAAGTACCAACGTAATGGTCTTGTTGACCTTATCGTTGCCTTCTTTCGACATGCGCTGGTTGGCCTGATCCTGGATGGTAACACTTCGAAATCGTTCTAAACTGGTGCCTTCCACACCCTGTGAAAACATACGTTCTGGCTGAGCAGGTCGTCGTTCCGTTTGAGCAGGTCGCCTTTCCAGAGGATTCATATGTGGTTCAGGCAAAGGATTGATCATTTCTTCTTGTACATGAGATGGGGCTTGGGGTCCTGATCCACTCGGTCCACTTGGATATTTGCGTCTTCAATGCTGGCGTGCTTGGTGCATCCCCTGGCTGCGTTCAGCTGGTAGCAGCACTGTCGGGGTCATACGGGTCAGTATTGATGCAAACTACATGAAACACATTGTAACAGATTAAGAAACTCTCACTTCGAAACATGCATTTTTAGGGCATTGACTGTTGTTTTTCGGATTGTGACCAACAGCTAGTTTACCATCGATCCCGCGGCACGTCTGCGACACAGTCAAAAAGGAACCTGCACCGTTGGTTTTTTGACTACAAGTAGGTGTGGGAGGCCCTCCTTCCCCATTCAGCATGTTGTTAAGATTCATAGCAAATTCGTGATTGGCCTGAATTTGGTTGTTGAGCAACCTGCTTGAAGGTCTCGTTCGTTGAATAGGAGAATTGTATCCTATAGGTAAAAACCCTCGCAAATGTTTTTCTGTGTTGTATGCTAGTACCTCGTTATTGTACCACTGAGTATTATGTGTACGGTAGTATTTATCGTCGTGGTTGCACTGTGACGGCGTGTTCAAAGAATATGGTAAATGTCGTGTTACGGACATGAATAACTATTGAATTATTACCCTCAATCCAATGTTTTGAGGTTGCTTCTTGGGTTGATAGTAGATGGTGGAGTGAGGTCTTTGGTTGATGCAAAGGTTGGAATCACAGATGAGACCACTACGTGTTTTGGCGACAGCTGGATATGGCAGTGGTTTTGATGGATCAATAGGTGTGAATGTCAAAGGTCTTTTCATCGGGTTTATTCAGAGGTCTTAGTGATATTACTTTGTTGAGTTTGCTTATGCGGTCGTGTTGCAATATACGCAGGAAATACAACAAATGGAATGACCTTCAAGGTCATGCTGCATAAGGCTGCCCACCCTTTCATGGCTTGTGCGTCTGTGCAGGACTTTTTTTTTAACTTTCCTTAGTGATCCTAAAGCGTTATGGATATGTATTTCAATTGACCTTTTGGGTAGGTGGGAGACTCTCTACAAAAGTGGAAGCACTCATCCGACTGCGGTACAGGTGATGAGACAGTGGGTAGTCTCGAGACTCGCGAGACTACCGAGCTGGTCGGAGCTTCGTTCACTCTCGCTTTCGCTGTGTGCTGGTTGGGATCAAGCTTTTGGGATGGTAGATTCTGAAGATACACCGTTGAATGCTTCTGAGAAGCCCAACATGGAGGAGGATAGAGAGGGTACAGCTCATATGTTGGGCTGGAGTCGGCTCAAGGCAGTTCATATCTGTGGTATAGGGTCAAAGTCAGACTCAGAGTGATCGGTCATATTCAACAAAACTCACCATAAATTGATGACTTTTTTGAATGCTCAAGGTATACAAACAAAGGGTATGTTCAAGTATGGGCTCAGACAGTCTGTCTTCCTAGCAAACCTTAGCTAGTTCAACTTTGAGGTTATGCTTCCAGGCTGCATACATCAAATTTAAAACACCTTCTTTAATTGCTTCCGATCCAGCGCATAGGATGACTAATGCATCAAATCAAAGATAATTGAAAGAACAAAAAAATTAATTCAAAAAAAATTGGGAAGTGAAGTGTTTCGAAAAGAAAACAAGTAAAATTTAAAGTTAAAGTACTGAGATTGCGTAGAGTCACTGATAAATGATGAAAAGGACAAGATAACTAGAACACAGAAAGCACATCTTCGGATATAATCTGATGCACCTAGGAACAGCTGATGATGAAATGTGAAGGGGGAAAATTGAAAAGAGACCTGGACTAAATAAGAGAGTTGGGAGGAGGAAATATCGTTCTAACTAAATTGGTTACAAGGGTCTCAGTCTCTATCCAAGAAAAGACTATAGCAGTATTTCCAATAGAGAACACGTTGAAATTTGTCAGATCTTGCCAAATGTCATAGCAGTGACATAGCTTGACCAATCATGGTTCACTAAGCAAGGACCATATTGTTACTCTTCATCAAGAGGACGACGTTGGCAGCAATGGTTGATTTGTGACTGTCGACTTGTGCAGACATGCTGTCTGCTCGTTTCATCAACGACGGGGTTTCATGCTCGTCTAATCCTTCGTTGCATTTGCGTTTGTGTGTTTTTGTGTATCCGGCGGACTTGTTCATAAGCATACCCTTGGCCTTCATTGCATCAAAGACTTGTTGAGCCATAGCCTTGAAATCAGAATCGGCGAGTACTAAAAACCAGAAGAGACAAAGATCCGATTGAATAAACTCATAAGGATAGTTTGGATGATGAGCACTTACTGCCATTGGAAGGATTGGCAATTGCTTGTCCACCGTGTGAGACCACTTGGAGGGCCAAGGGTGCCGGACTTGAAGCTGTCTTGAGCGCGAGACAGCCTCCAAAACGAAGTTTCCAACCTGGTGATTCAAAGACGATCAGCAAAAAGTACATTCAATAAGATGCCTAGCTATGACATCTTATTATCCCAATGAGGGCGGCTTACCACATCTGATACGGACGATGCACTTGTCTTCAAACAATCCTCCCCCACAGCTGGTACCGCTGTGGCCATAATGTGCGATGAAGGAAATCAATACACAGATCTAATGAAAAAGCTACACAGTTGACCTCAAAAGTAGACTGACGGTGGGAGTTGGAAAATTGCAGTGTGATTAACACGATCTACCGGCCACATGCCATCGATACCAGGTGGGTTCTTGAGCGTCTTACACTTCTGCCAGTTTGTAGCTTTGGCATCCTTAAGAGACAAAGACTTTTGAGCGCACGCTTTACAAAAGATAATCAAAGTGTACTTACTGTGTCATATTCACATGTACATTCTCCACCACCATCACGGTTCACTTGAAAGATCTCCGTCTCAAATTTGCCATCCTCACCAATAGTTGCAACACCAGAGGCTTCCGCTATCAAGATCCAAAAGTTTCAGAGTCATATTCATATAGTTAATGAAGAATAGCAGGTTTGAGTACTGACACTGAGTTAGCCATGCTGGAATGTTAAGAGGACCCCATTGTTCATTCATACCACAAGGATATTCGGGGTTTTCGACCCATTCGATCTTTTTAGAGAAATAGGGGGCATCGGCTCCGGCCTATTTGTTTGATACGCGAGCATCCAAAGATAGTGAGTGAATAAGCTACCAGAAAGATCTGAGATCGTTTGATGACAATTGTATAGTGTTCGGAGACGCACATCAAGACCTTGAGACTTGAACCAGGGGAATTCATTGTCCTTTGCCTAAATGATGATGAAATGGGATCAGTTAGCGCTGGCACAGAGATACATTTGTCGAAACAAAAGTATAGAGACCTACCACTCCGAAACCCCAGCTCTGTGTTTGGTCAAAGACTCCATCGGGCGAAAGTTTAGCAGCAGTTCGAACAAGTTTACAATGACCTGCAACAGGTCGAATGGCTACAAGAGCCGAAGCCACGATACCGGCGGCGAGTGCGAGTGAAGGCATTCTTTATGAAAGGGTTTCGTTGTTGAAAATCGAGAGAATGAAAATGAAAGAGTGACAAAAGGCAGTTGTCTTCTGAGTAAAGGGAGTTTAAGAGAATAAGTGGGAAGTGGATAGCTTCCTGGAGTATAGTAGTTCAAATGTGAACTAGATGGGCGAACGAGTGGGATGAGAGGTTTGGGTTGAAGGGTAGTAAATTGAAATTGTCAAAACGAGATGCTAATATAGAGGTGTCGTATGGGCTCGCACGATTGCAAAGGTGTATGTACGCAGTTAAGCTCGACGTTACTTACGAAAAGACGAACGTATGTACTGTATTGATTAAAAGAGCTCTGATTTCGAAGGTTAAACGCGCACCTGAAGCGCAGCTGGATGTTTGTGGATGAATGAGCAATTGATGAGCAGCCACGGGCGCAGGTGAACTTGGCGAGATTTATGAACTCACAGAGAAGCGGAGAAAAGGTGAACGGGAGTGGAATGACGGCGTGATTGTGCGTTGAAGGGCGAACCGGGTGGTGGTTTAGACCGTACATACAGGGAAGAATGTTCTCTACATATACAGAACTGAGGCTGTCAGTGTCACGCAACGAGTGAAAATTGCAACAAGCATTCTTCCGAACAAACCGAACGCGACGTGGGTATACTCGGGAGCTGAGCAGATTTCGCTGCAGATAAAGTTTAAACACAGTGTCAGTCTTCAGCTCGTATCAGTCTGATTCAGGAGGGTCGGCAAGTCACGAAGCTTGCCCCAAGACTTCAAGGCCCGCCATTTTTGCTCAAGTGGTGGGCTTTGCCGGTAGAGCTGGGCAATTTTTTGGACCCATTTGGAGAATAGTTAAGGACAAACATCATTTACAATTGCCCTTGATCTTTTGAGTCCACGCTCAGCTACGTACAGATCGTAACAGCCTTTGCATATACGGATCCCAAATCGCCTCGATTGCACACAGAGCCTTGCTATCGACAAAGGTTGAAAGCTTTCATAAGCTTGTCAAGTTCCCCGAGTAACTCGACACCAAATTGGCGGAGGGATATGTAAAATCAATAAAAGCAAGGAACGCAGGGAACGCTCTCGGGGCGTCGATTGACAAGTTGACTTGAATTCCAGAGCAGAAATAACATGATGTGTGGAGCTCTGTGGAGACTAGAAGAGTCTGCAACCGCACCGTGCACAAAGAATTGCAAGAGCATCGCCACCAATGCCTGGTGAAACGTCATCAATTTGATGAAAATCGACGTTTTTACTCACGCAGGGTGCATTTTTCATTTTTAGTATGTTACGTGAGGCAATCCATAAGAAATATGCAAGGCCGCTTCTCACGTGATTTGCGTCACTTTTGACGTAATCCATTCTTGCATCTTTGAGGTCCAACTAACATCGAACTTCCCTGATGGAATCTCACCTTCCCAACCCTTAAAATCTTTGAATATCAATATGGTTGGTAGTGTCGAGAAGCGTCAAATCTCGGACCGGATATTTATCAAAAACTACACTTCAAGACAAGATTTAGTTATGTTGTAGAAACCAACTAAAACAAGAAGTTCGAATATTGAATTTCCAATGGCATATCTGGATTGCCATCAATGCCAGGAGTCCAACAGTATCTTTGGCTCAGAAATTCAGTGAGTTTTCTTGCTCAGCCTCAAGTTGGCAGAGTAATACCCGCTGGTCCGACCTTTGACGCTTCTCGGCACTACCAACCATACGTTGTGAAAGGCTGACGGGCTCTGCTCGCAGTACATCAGTTCAAGTCTCGATAGCGCAATGGTCTTACATGCTGCAAAGGCGACCGTTGGGTTAACTTTCGGCCTAGCTATATTGATTTGTAAAACAGGTTCAACAAATGCAATTATAGCTATCAAGTAGAACATAAAAGAGAGCAAGTTCGTGATAGTAAAATTGTAGAAATTATGATTGGCCACGGACCACCATGATAGGCAAATGGAAATAAGAGGTGAATTGGAACGATGTGTGGAGGCACGTAGACAAATTGCGAAGAAGGGACATGATAGGAAAAGCATAAAAACAAGATAAGACTGGTTTGTATTGTGTTTCTATCATGCGCTGAATGTTGATTCAAGGTAAAACTAGGGAATCGAAAGAGAGCCCTATTGATGATGAGCACGCTTGGTGTGCTTAGGAGCAACAAGATTATTCTTCTTGGCAAGCTTAACCGACACCGAAATCAAGGAATCCATCTGCTGAGAAGTCAAAGCTAGTACAATTTACACGGATGAATATGATTATCGTTTAGTTGAATGAGATTTTTGATCAACTTACTGTATCCAGATGAGTCTGATCCGCTGGAGCTCCCGCTGGAGCCTTTCTTGGCTACGGTACCGTCTAGTTTGACAATGAAACAACCTCCACAGATTTTCTGTGCCGCTATGATTCAGAAGTGGACAATTGACATTCATTGTTAGAGTGAGGGCTCGTAAAAATTTTGATCCAGTGATAAAACACAAACTTTCGGAGGTTTGACCGGCCCGACATCGAACAAGACATATGTTTTTGTCCGGACCGCCTGAGCATCGTGAGCCCCTGGTCAAGCAAAGTCCATGAAGTCAACATTCAGAGGATATCGTAAGCAGAAACGCTTCATGAAAGTTATGAGCTGACTCCTTGAAAGTGGCCACCACCCTCCAGGTTTTTCGGTCTGCAGGGAAGGCACCAAAGTTTCCAGGTAAGTTGAGAGTCACATCCATCGGTTCGAAAGAATGGCCGGTGCCATCCTTCAACACATCAAAGTAAGGCATTAGTTAGTAGTGATGTAGCAGGATTGTGACGAAGATCAACTTACAGCGCTGTATTCGCAAGCCGCTGGCCCACCTCCGTTACGGTCAACTTGGAAAAAGTCCAAGGGAATGGAGCCGTTGGAAAGCACGGTTGGCACGCCGGCGGCGATCGCTAATCAAGTGAGCTGTTAGTAACTTCATGAGTACGGGCGGTGAGCATAGGTGGAGATAGCAAACATTTTGCAGTCTGGTCGGCAATGTTCACAGCGCCATGAAGCTTGGCTACTGATCCGCAAACGGGATTAGGATTGTCGCCAGGAGTGAAAGCGGTAGCGTCGGCACCCGCCTATTAGTGAAACATGTCAGACACGCAAAAGCACCTGAGGAAAGAATATTCATTGGCCTCACGTCTCCTGAAGTACCAGTTCGTGGAACGCGACCAGAAGCATCCTGTGTAGGATCAATCGTTGATATCAGTGCCAGCTACTTTCATCGACTAGAGAAGAAATTCAAGCGTACAATACCGAAGCCGTGTCCAGTGACACCATTACCCCCGTTGACATTTAGGATGGAGCAATATCGCGATTCGGTATATGGTAGGATTTGAACGGACCAGAGCATAGCAGCTGAGAGCCCGGCAAAAACGGCGTTCTTCATTGGTCGAGGACTCATGGCGAATGGAATGAATGAATGAATTGTGGATTCGTAGGTCAAGTGTTCGTACTACCGGTGTCGGGTTAAGGTCAGGAGTCGAATAATAAGCAAGATTGATTGGGTTGAAGAAGCTGTTACGATACTGAATTAGCAATGAATCGTTTGGATAAGATGATTAAGGCTTACAGAAGAGATTGATAATAAAGAACAAAAAGCCTATGATAGGAGGCAGTAGAGGAGGACAGCGGATGTTCTGAGAGGAAAAGAAGGTGGGTGGTAAAGGAACTTCGTGTTGGTGATGTTTGTGCGAGTACAAAATTGTATGGGAAGTCTCACGGAACTCACACAAGGCTTTAGGAAGATGTCAGAGGACGAGATGACAAAAAGTTCAAAGCCACCTCAATTAATCTTGTACATACTGCGTGTATACGTAGTCAATTTGTATATATGAGTCAAAGATCACAGTTTAACTGCTCTCGAATTCCTTTTGTGGTCCTCGCCTCCCACCGCTCCTCTCACCGCTCCCACCGAGAGGAAAACCAGCGCAGATGATTCCAAAAAGCGGCGTCTTTGGCCCGCGCTCACGCTTCCATGATTCTTTCAATTTACCGATCCGAGCGAACCAGCCGGAAGAAGGTCATCAGTCTCAACCAGGCCAAGTCGCTGTCATAACTTGATGGAGGACTTACGATGGAGTTAGGTTGGACTCACCCCCATACATAGTTGACCCGGTCTAACTCAGCAGATGCTTGGTTCAGGTCGTCCGCCTGCCTAAATCACACAGGGCTACCGGTGATCCGCTCATATTTCCTCGCTTTACATGTTGTCCAATGGTTTGCCTTTTTCGGGGTCCAAGTGTCATCATCAAGCTCTCTTTCATCACCTGCTGCTACATAGCCCTGAGGTTGCTGCTCAACGGGCAAGCGGAGATAGACATGCATATCAATATTTATTCCTTTGTTAAAGGGGAGTTATTATTCACAAGGTCTCACATGTGTAGGCCAAGACAGACATATCCATAGAGGAAGTTGTTGTGTGTTGATGCGCAACGTACAAGTCCAGCTCCAGGCCTGCGTTGCTCAACTCAGACACTCACACAGTTTTGACCTTAACTTCATCAGTTAAGTTAGTTATGATATGTTTTTACTTCACATTACTTCACATATACGAGCGGCAACCTCCACCAAGGCAAGAAGACTCTGGGCAGCCTCTCAGCAACCGACAAATAGCACACGGAACTGCATAAGCCCACAGGACAGGAACCTCAGGCAAATCTCGGCATCCAACAAATGTCAAAACATGCTCCCTATCAGTACCCAGAATCAGACTATGTAGCTTAACAGGAGCCCCACCTGCCATGTACATCCCCCAGAGCCAATGAGGAAGGACTTAGTTGAGTTGGAGAATCAGACACTCTGGCAACATTTGTTGACATCTGTTTGGAATTTGTCCCATTTGGCTGTTAGAGCATGACCACCGCACCACAATCCGTAAACCTCATACATAGCAGGACACATTTCAGCATGTCACATACACCTGGGTGTATTTCAGATCCAGCAACCCCTCCGGGCAGCACACAAACTGGATGCCTCTGGAATCCTCTTTAGGAGTTCCACAGATGTCCATCAATTCCCATCTCAGGGTTGTGTTAATCAATGGAGAACACATCATCTGTGGCAAGCAATCAGGTCACAATCTGATCAATCTGATCATCCATCATTTGATTGAAAAATACACTCATGCAGACAAGAGATGGTCTGCACATGTCCTAAACATGTTGAAACCCTAGGAAAGCAGTGTTCCAGAGTTACTTGGTAGAGGTTCTTGAAATGCAAGGATTTTATATACTTTTACAAGATTTTTTCATGTGATTCTTCACACATCCAAGGATTGTTGTTCTCTTGTTTACATTTCTGAATTCAGCTTTTTCTTATTCCTCTTGGCATAATGCAAATACCTCTCATATGGGCATGCATTTGGTATCTGTGTTGACAAGGTTTGCTTTTGAATTCTGCTGATTGTATGCAACATCATATTCCCATACCAATTTGGATCAACAACCAAGATATCTGATAAAGGTTGTTCTTCAAAGTCTTTTGGTATGCTTTAATTAATCTTTTGTTGTGGTCTTTTTCTTTGATTCTATGACCTTGTGTACCATTACACTTGATGATCTTGCTATATCAAAGCATCTGAAGAGCAGAAGTAATGGTGATGGTTCAAACTCAAGTTGAAGACCCCAATTAATCCTTTCCTGAAATGTTCTACTGTGCCAAAGTTCATGAAGGAACCAAACAAGCTCAACAGGATACACAGAAATAATGTATTGACTTTTTAGAACTACAACATTTGACCTCATTTGTGATCTTTGGCTTTTTGATCACAGCAAATGATATTGGGTCTTCAAGGAATTGACTCCTTCAATGAGAAAAACAAGATTCATGGGTATCCATGCTAGTCCTTAAAACCTTTTCAATTTGAGTGGCCTCTTGTGTATGGTGTAAAAGAACTAGAGTACCTATGAACACTGGGATGGTGCCAAACTTAATCAACAATATTTTCTTTTTAATCATGGTAAGATTGATGATTTTATGATTTTGAAATTTTTGCTCTTTTCAGACCTTTTTCTTATCTTTTTCAATACTTCTAGCCTCAACATCTTCAGAATATTTTAATTCTCTTCCGAGGCATATATGCCAATGTCTACAAGTTTTTGAACAGTCATTTTACATATTTGATTCAATTCTCTGACTTTTTCAATATCTGTTGATAGACTCTCTGATGTCACTGAGCCTGAGAAGCTCATGATTGGTGTTAATTTCCTATCTTTGATTTTTCCATTCTTCAACACCAAGGCTTTCTTCCCTTGGATTCTTCCTTCAGACTCAATTACAGAGAGAAATGAATGTCCTGAGAGCTCAGCATCATATATCAAAGAGATGTTCTATTTCAACCATTATCTTGGGATTATACATACCTCATCAATATTGCTACTTTCAATTTAAGTAGGATACCACAGTTGAAGCCTGGCAATTTGAATAGGATAGTTTTCCTGTGTTGAACGTTTTGGTCTTTGGGCAGTTTTCTGGATCTTGAACTTGAAACTGGGGTTCTGAAGATGACAGTGTGATTGGTGTGCATTCACCAGATTGGATACCAGTGACTTTGTCATTATGTTTTATGTGATGTTTAGGGCTTTGTGTGTGGTGAGAAATTTTCATAAGATTGATACCAGAACATGATCCCAAAGAATTTGAAGGATCTTCTGCTAGATTTATTTTGGTGGTTGAGTCACTGCAACTTGGTCTGAGAGTGGAAATCAAATTGTTGAGCTGTGCATAATCTGTGAATACCAATCTCCTTCTTTAAGAATTTGGCCCCAGCAATAAATTTTCCAAATGCCTTGTCAAAAAGATTTCAGCCAGTCCTGACACTGTAGAAATGTGGCTCCAAAACAGATCTGAATTCAATTCAAGATAGTCATTGAGATCATTCAGATCATTCAGATGTGTGTCTTTCATTAATGCATCCTCAATATCCTTCAAGTATCTTGACAATACAGAATTGTACACAATATAAGCTTCAGCTATATTTTTATTTTCATGATAAATTTTACTCTGAGAATGCTGCAAACCTTCAATCCCATCTCTGACTACAGTGGGTCTCATCCAAGCCCAAATACCCCCTGTAGGGGGGATCAAAAGTTTGGCTTGGGATGACCAAAGTCCTTGGTGAGAGGTTTGCTCCCAGAAAGGGTAACCTGAGTGGAAAATGGTCAGGTTGAATGCCATGTGATGCTGTCATAACATTAGTCCATGGTTTGACCCACGTGTTGTATAATATTTTTGTCAAATGAGTGTCTTGGTGGGACTGGAAACATGACTATCTCATACTGAATTTTTAATGCAAACTTCTGAGCCCTCAATTTTGTTTCAGCTGATCACCAAAGAAAACTTCACCTTCTAGATTTTCAAAAATCCACCTTGACACATTTCATGGCTTTCAGCAAAGCTCAAAAATCTCAACAATAGTGGCACCTTACTGAATCAACTTGCTGTGGAAGCACAACTTTGGACAAGGGAAATGAATTTGTGGCCATATCAGATGGTTGGTCCAGTGAGCAACAGCAACACTGACACCAAACTTGAAACTCAAAATTGAAGTTGTGAACCAATGCAATGCCTTGAAAATAACATCACTGAATTCCCAGATGGGAAGGTTTGCAAATAAGATCTCATCAAACTGCTCTGGCCAGACTTTTTTCACCAGAGCACCTCTGAATTATCCACTGGAAGATGCAAGTATGCTTCAGGTTTCATCCTGAGAGTCAATACAAGCAACCTATCACCCACACAAAGATCCCAAAGAGCAAAGAACTTGTCCCCTGACCTCTTACCAAGGCCACTTGCAGTAACTATAAGGCAAATAAGGCCAAAGTACTTGAACAAAAGAACTTCTGCATGGAAACACAGATGCAGACTGCCAAATCTACAAGCACACCTGACACAAAATTCTCAATTTTACTGAGCCAAGCACACATTCTGCAATAACTCTTGATGATACCAAGCCAGAAACAATGAGCAAGATATCATTGATTGTGAAACATTCATCAAAAGTTCTGTTGATACATACCATTAATCATTGAGAAAACTTGGTGAAAAAGACTTGAAACGTGATGTATATGAAAAGTTTAAAGAGCTAGATGATTCAAGAAACTATGCAACAGAAGAATCAAGGAACAATCAAAAGCATTACCCAAATTATAAGTAGCCTTTTTGTGAGCTTCATGAACTCCAATATTTCAATGTGCACCAATATCAAGTTGCCTCAAACAAAAGAGATGCACCTGAGATCACTGCTTCAAGATTTTCTGCAAAGTCATCTGCTTGGCAATTATCAACTTCAAAGAAGAATCCAAGATTCAGCAGCTGAGCTGTGGGAGTTAGTTATTCTTGTTACATACATGTCTAAGACAAGTATATTGTGGAGGCTAAAGTATGATTAATTCAGATTGTAAATCTATCAATGTCTCTTTGTGTATTATAAACATATCCTTTCTATTGCTTACACCATCCATTTGTGTCTTATTGTTATGATGTCATGATTTCTGGGCCAATATACAATTCTTTCAAATATCAATATTGTATTTTTCTTTGTATTTACCATCAACTAATAAAAGATGTGGGGTGATGTCAATACAGCTCACTTGCAATCTAAGCCAACCAGGCCTTACTGCCATCGTCCTCTTACTTAGGAAACATTGATCTTTGTCTCAACTGCGGCTCAGCTTGTGACTTCCTTGCTACATACACAGCTGTTGTAACCCCAACCAAGCCAGATGGTCAATCTAATGCCAGGTGGTTTAGTTCACAGTGCCTGTGTAGAGCCCCCTACATTCACCATTTGAAACTGTATCCAATTCCAAGTTGTGTGCTTTTGTGTTGCAAATGTCCAACAGAGGCTCAAACCTTTATGAGCTTTTTCAACATCAGGAAAACAAGCAGCCAAACGGCTGCTCAGTGAGTCAAATAAAGGATCAAGTCAATTGACTCATCAACCTTAAATCCTATCTTTATTCAAAAGTCATCCAGTCAAGTTTTATCAAACTTAACCAAGTCCCTTGCCAAAGGCTCAAGGCCTGAGCAAGGGATTTACTGCTAAAACAGATTTCTTGCCTTCAAAGTAGGCTGTATTGGCTCAAATGCTGTTACATTGGTTGTTTTTGTGTTTGAATAAAACAATCTCGATATAAAACAAAAGAGGAATGGGGAACAACCATTACACATGCTCAAGCTTCCAGCTCCTTCATACTCCTCTGAGAAGGGCTCATTCAAAGTGATTGAAGAATGGACATCTTCACCTGTTTCTGAGAAATACAGGCTGTAAGTGAGCCAACTGCTCAGAAAAAATTTAAATAGATTTATAGTTTATCACCTAATGTCAGAAGTTCCAGACAAGTTCTGAAGCAGGAGCTTGTAATTCTATCATATGTAATGGATCTTTTTTATCCTCATCTTATCTTGCATAAAGCTTATTTGGAAACAAAACAGAGAATCCATTGTGGTGGTTTTTGAGCCAATACAGCTCAATGCTCAAGCCAGCATTCTGTTTGTAGTGGTAAGTCCCTTGCTCAAGCCTTGGGCATTTGGCAAGGGACTTAGTTAAGTTTGAGAATCCATTATCATCAATTGTTTTGTTATATCTTCATGAATTTCTTTCCAGTTGATCAAATTTATTCTAGGCATTGGAAGTTTTTGAGTGAGGATGAGCCAGATGTAGAAGAGATTTGAATGAGGGTGCAGTATGTTGAGCAAGAGCAAAAATTCATGAAGACTTGACTAACTCTTTATCTTTTTACCTGTTCATCCTCTTCAAATTAACTTTTGATCAAATGACAATTACAGCTGTTGTAAGATCTATTGGCAGATTTTGAGAGCATTTTGTTGTTGCTAGATTTAATGTAAAGTTCAAAAACTCAAAAACTCCCTTTTGAGATTGATAACTCTACTGCCCATCAGTCCAATCTGCACCAGGACCATAGACTTTGGTCTGAAAGTTAGTTTTGAGTTTTTGACTTCAAAAGTTAAATCTGGTGACAACAAAACTTTTCAAAAATCTGTCAGTACATCTTACAGCAGCTGTACCGTGTGCACAAAATATCACATCTGTCAACTTGAATCCCATTTTCATAAATCTTCTCATCTTTAATTTCTTACCAAGTATTATCAGAAAATCTGGGTATAAAGCTACATACACAGGCTTCCTTGTCTTTTTCTAGCTACTGAGACTGAAAATACACCAATTTCAATTGAATTGTTCACATCAAGAATCTCCTAAACCAATAATAATGGGATTTTACTAAAAGCAGCCCCCCATGTGAGGATTGACCGCCCCCTTTATGCTGTATTTCAATTCAAAATATTGCCTACTGCACATAGGGGGCGGTCCAGAGAGCTGATTGCAAGTTTTTAGTGAATAAAGCAGGCGGTCTTGAAGACAGCGCCTGTATTCTCCAAAACAATCCAGGAAATAGAGATTTGAGTGAGAGATTAAGAAACCTCCACCGCAATGAGAATGTCATCCGTAACGGTGAATTGCGGCCTTTCCAAGCTCCAAGCCGGCGGACATTCTGACTACAATGTAGACTCAAAAATATCCAACTGGTTGTAAGTTCTGATGTTTTGTTGACAAGGTTTTCGGGCACTGAATGTTATATTTACAAGACCTACAGTAGTGCAAAATGTATGTGAGATTGAAGGCTTTTGTTTAAGCTAGCTTTCAACATCATAGCACCTATAATTCCTGATTTATTTGGATGTAACGGTCAAAAACAGCCTTAAAATTGAACGTTAGAACCGGGCCTTGGAGGCACAGAAAAATTTTGCGCCAATCGATTTTGCGCCCAAGTGAGCAAAGTTTAGAGCCTCAGAGTAGGCTTGTTTGATAGCCCTACTCTATGTGCATCTTTTGAATTGCTCTTGAACTTGAGGCAAAGAGGGGTGTGTTGTGTAGAGCCCAAAAACTGAAAAACGGGTTTTGTCAGATACCTCTATAGGCGCATTCCTGGGTCCTGTTCCAGACCGCCCCCTTCCCATCCCATGTTTGCATCATACAGTATATTTTTCTTTTCCCTGGCTAAACGGGGGCGGTCAAGCCTCACAAGGGGGGGCTGCCTTTAGTAAAATCCTAATCATGAAGTGTACTTTCCATGGAGTTGTTGGTAGCATAACCATTCAGATCCAGATTCATATTCAAAGTTTGTCATGGAAATTCAGCAGCTTGAGGAATATCAAAATTGTCTGATAAGGGCATGTTTGGTTAAGCAATTTCTGACCAGAAATCACATTCTGTGTAAAATTTTTAATGCAAAAATGAAACATATATGGTTGGTAGTGCCGAGAAGCGTCAAAGGTCGGACCAGCGGGTATTACTCTGCCAACTTGAGGCTGAGCAAGAAAACTCACTGAATTTCTGAGCCAAAGATACTGTTGGACTCCTGGCATTGATGGCAATCCAGATATGCCATTGGAAATTCAATATTCGAACTTCTTGTTTTAGTTGGTTTCTACAACATAACTAAATCTTGTCTTGAAGTGTAGTTTTTGATAAATATCCGGTCCGAGATTTGACGCTTCTCGACACTACCAACCATACCACCAAATAAACACTTTAAATTTTGCAGAATGTGATTTCTCACCAGAAATTGCTTAAGTGAATGTGCCCTTAAGAAGAGCATGTTAGAATCTCATTGAGACATTTACTACCCTCAGTTGAATTAATTGAAAAAAGCAAAATGAACTTTGATTGATAAATGATGACAGCTATGGATAGAAGATTACAGGATTGTACTGTTGTTCTCGGAAATCTTGTCCTAGTTTTCCTGCAAAACTCGAGCAATTTGGCGGGAAAACTTGGACAAGCTTTTCGAGAACGACAGTAGAAATCCAAAAAAAGATGCCAGTGCGTGGACCAAAATGGGAAGTGTCTATACCAGAAATCAGGATCGTATATAAATGGTTTCTTTCATCTTTTTTCAGTCAATTCTTGAGCATCACAATTACAAAAAAAGAAAAATCAACAAGAGAATAAAACACATACATGATCATATAATAGATGAGAAAGAAAGAAAACAGTCAAAATAAAAAAAAGATATTGGTAATGGAAGCAGGGTGTATGTGAGTTGAGACAATTGATTGGGGATGAAATAGGTAGGGAAAAAAAGGGCCGTATGCGCTGCGAGCAAATCGAATTGAAAAATGGAAAACATGAAGATGTGCATATTATTGGTTTAGAGTAGTGAAGTTGAATTGATGATCATTCATAAATGGCCGAAAAAGATCTTCACTTTCGCTTCGATCGAGAAATATCAAAGGATGAGCTTTGTAGCCTGAAGGAAGTGAGCTATCGATTCTAAAGCTTTGGTTCCACAAGATTTGCTTCAGTCCACGCGGATCTCTTCAACTCTGACAAGTTCAGGTAGTCCGAAGCCGTTTGGTTCATCCACTTGACCTGCGGCTTCGTATGCATCTCGTTTCCAAGCAGGAAGGAAGATGTCCTAGGAGGTGATAACCAAGTACCAGATGAATGGCGCATAACAAGACATCAGTCAGTAAGCGATATGCAACATACATCTTTATATACTATTGGTCTTGATTGTCAAAAACCGTTGGCAAGCTGGCGATTCATACGAATCACCAATAGGATAGAAATCATCCAATGGACCAAATAGGGTGGAAGAAAAGTAAACAAAAGCTGAAAGCTAGTCATCGATCAACATACCTGATCGAAACACCAACCATTATCAGTCTTTAAGACAATCACATCGCAATGATTGATATCTTGAACCGATTCTCGATAGTTTGAGCGTCCAAGATATTCTCCTTCCTCGCGATCATCTTCATCATCATCTTCGTCGTCGTCTCTCTCCTCATGTTCGCCCCTTAGGCAATGGTAAAACATGAACTAGCCAACGGTGATGGTTGGAAAGAGGAGTTGACAGAGAAGGTTTAAGCTACCATTTAATCTTACTAGGATGATGATTTAGAGTGATGATCGAGGGTCAAGAGGAACAAGAAGGGATTGGATTGGAGAACCAACGAAGACGGTTGCATTCATACACGGAAGCAAAGGATTGGTCGTAGGTTGATGGGGAAGGGTTAAGGAGTGAAGGGTAAGACAAATGAAGAGGTCAAAGCTATCTAACCTCAATGTGATTATTGGAGATAGTATGACGTCGTCTACGACCCACAGGCCTCGGACGATTAGAGATCGATCGTTTAGGTGCGTTGGTGAGTTGTTGTAATGAATGATGATCGATGTTTTCATTTTGAGAGATTGGTGAGACTGAAGAAGGCTTTGATTCGTTTGTTGTTGTTGCAGTTGTTGTTGTTGTTGTTGAGATTGATGGATGTGATGATGATGGAGTTTGATGATCCATGTTGTGGATTGGTTCAAGAGTCTTACAAACTGGGATGATGATGATGATGATGGTCAAGTTGAGATGGAAGGTAAAGAAGCTCTCTGTTATCGAGCACTACAAAGGGGCAATCATCGTAAAAAGGGGTCTGTATTTAAATCGATCGATTATGTCATCTTAACATACTTTTGGGCCCCGTTCGGTAGCGTTTGTTTCTTTCAACACGGGAAAATGTAGTATTGGAAAAAAATGTAGAATCACAATACCTTGTTCGGCACTTTTTTGCTCATACTATCCGTTTCAATACCACAATAAAACCATTTCATCAACAAGAATTCACAAAAATTGAACAATTGTTTATCCTATGTATTATCACTTTATCTTCATTTGAATATCTCACTCTATCTTTGTTGTAGAATTTGATCTCATTGCAATTCCAACAAACTCAACCCAACTTTTTCTGCAGAACTCAAAGTTTTGAAAAGCAGACCAATTTGAGAATGATTGTTTTTTCAAAAAGAAAGTGCATCATGGTGCAAAACCTGGTTCTGTTTTTTACCAAGTCTTGTTTCTCTGCTAATTTTGAGAATATGTACAGAGAATACATACCCTGTGAATGTTTTTTTGGTTGGTTTTGACCACTGCGGCAACAACTTCCCCCCCCAAAAAAACAGTGGTCAATCATTCTCAAATTGGCTGTACATGTCCCCATGCCTTAACTTGACTAAGTCCAATCTTGTTCCTCATACATTTGAAGTTTGTAGACCCAGGAAACAAGGGACTTACACCTAATGTCTGCTTTACTAGTCAGGAGGACATTGGGCTTTTGGTGGGAGAATCTTGTCCCCTTATAACTTTTTTTGTGTTGTAAGTGAAACTTCAGCATTATGCACTGTCCACCATCCTTTCAAATTCTCCCATTTCCATCTCAGGAAAAAAATTTACAATGACACTGAAATTGAACTTCTGAGATTTAGTAAGACAGATTGACTGTAATGTTTTGTAACACTTTTAGCCGCAGTTGCTTTCCAAAATCTCAAAAACTTGATTTCTGAGCTATGGTGAAAGTTTTTGCTCAGATTGCAATAAGGGCACCCAAAAGCACATGGATGAGCATAAGATTCTGAAGTTTAACATATTTGGATGGCAAGAAATTTCCACCAGTCGGGGCCGGCGGAGTAAACTGGTGTCGTATCTTTTCCGGCCTCACTTGTACTAGTCTATTTGGAAAAGATACGACACATTAGTCGGGGCTGGCGCAGTAAATGTGTCGTATCTTTTCCGAATAGACTTGTACAACACTTTAAAATCATTGGTCTTTCCATATGGCTCAGCACAGAAGAATAAATTTATACTTGTCTTACCCAAGATCATCTAAGGGTATGTTCACTCAAACAATTTTTGGTCAGAAATTGCATTCTGCAAATTTGAAAGTGCTGGTTTGGTGGAGTGTGGTTGTTTTTTGCATTTTAAACTTTACAGAATGCAATTTCTGTTCAGAATTTGCTTAAGTTAATGCACCCTAAGGCCGCGTTCACTTAAGCCGGATTTCGTGAAGTCGAATTCTGAGCGACCTCATTTCTACATGTAGAAATGTGATTTTCGTAAAAAAAACCCGAAATTCGCGTTTTGTGAGAATTTGTGAAAAAATAGGTCATGAAGCGTTTGCTTTAGATGATCATTAAGGGCGGTTTTGAATCTTTGAAATCCATAAAAGTCTTGAGAGTTGCAATGAACAAAGGCTTTGAGCCTTCCTCCCTCCCAAACCATCCTTTCCAAGCTCTCATAATGTCAAGTTCATCGGATTCAGACTCTGACACGTCTTCCATATCTATTCGACCGGCTATCGCGGTTCTCAAGATCATCATCAAGGCCGGTATAGATTATCTCGCTTCGATAACCACCGAGAGAAAGCCATGTCGAACATCAAAGCTTCGAGGAAATCAATATACAAAAGAGATCCTCGAAGGCAGTGATGTTCGATTTCGGGAACTGTGTCGAATGGACAAGCGTGCCTTCAAGGGATTAATCAAAGCCCTTGAAGGCAAGCTTGTCATTCAACGAAAGCGCAGTGTTACTATTGAAGAACAACTCATGATATTTCTATTTATTGTTGGCAACTCCGGCTCTAATCGGGTCGCTGGAGAATGCTTTCAAAGGTCTGGTCATACCATTAGCAAATATTTTAATACTGTCTGCCATGCCATCGCCTCCCTTGAATCCATTTACATCGTTCAACCTACCGGAGGGGAGATATGTCCGAAGGAGATCAGGAATAATCCTCGCTTCACACCTTACTTTGACAAATGTGTGGGTGCCATCGATGGCACCCACATTCCTTGTATTGTTCCTGCGGATCGACGTGCAGCCCATCGAAATCGAAAAGGAAATCTGAGTCAGAACGTCCTAGCGGGATGCTCTTTCAATATGATGTTTACTTTCGTTTATGCCGGTTTAGAGGGTTCACACGCCGATGCTCGTGTTCTTCACCGAGCACTTGAAGAACGACGATTTGTAGTTCCAGAAGGTACGTTTTGATTCCTTCCAATTCACATTGATTTGTATTGACCTGTATCTTTCCAGATCGGTTCTATGTTGCCGACGCTGGCTACGCCAACGTACCAGGGTTTCTCACACCCTATCGATCGGTGCGGTATCACCTCAAGGAATGGAGGGATTCCCACTTGACACCTCGAAATCCCAAAGAGCTTTATAACCACCGCCACTCTGCACTTCGAATTGTGATCGAACGTATCTTTGGCATCTCAAAAATGAGATTTCCGATACTGGCAACCATGCCTCCTTACCCGTACAAGACCCAAGTCATGATCGTGATGGCTTGCTGTGTCCTAAACAACCTCATCTGGATTGAATCAGGCGAAGACGAGTTCTACGAAGAATACATGTTGAAGGAGCGCTTGGAAAGGAGGATGGCGGATGATAATGGTGAACCAGATTGGGTTGAGCCCAATCCAAACCAACGCACTCAAGCATCCGAACAAAGGGACAACCTCGCCGAGCAGATGTTCCATGATTTTATTAATGCACCAGTGGCGCGTAGGCAAGCTTAATCCTTTGAACACTCATATGGAAACTAGTTGTGGCTTGTTATTTTAGTTAGCAAAAGTACAATCAAATCATCTTTGTATATGTATTACTTTATACTATATATGCTTTACTTTGTAAGATACATATGGATACTGTAATTTTTATTTTGTAAGATACAAAGGATGAAATGAAAAAGTGAGATTGATAAATGAAAAAATAAAACATATAAAATAAAAAAATAAGACAATGAAGTGGTTGATATTCATTCTTTATCTGCATCTTTATCTCCATCTTTATCTTGATACTGATCTAATATATGTGCTTCACTCTTCAACCATTCCCAGCAATACTTCTTATCCATATGGTAGAAAAAGGATGCTGTATCATCCTTTTTCAATTCATTCGCTGCTGTAATAATGTGTTCAGGCTTGAGGTTTTTGAGGAATTCCTTGTTGAAGATCGCCATGGCTTCTTTTCGCATCGGGTGTTGTTCACTTTTTATTTTGGCAACAGCCACCTTATCACTTTCGTTTTTCTCCTCATGTTCCAAAACCATCGCAGCCGCTTTGCCGATCGATTCTGCTACTATCTTAGGTCCGGAAGTTCGAGAACGCTTGGAATTTGGAGCGGAGGGTCCAATTGGGCTTCTTTTACTTCGGACAAATCGTCTTTCTGGGCTGTCGTCCTCGTCACTTTCACTGTCGTCGAGGGAAGCTTCAGCCGCTGTGAGACCATCGTTTCGAGATCAAGACTTGTTGAAAGGAATAGAACAAGAAATGGAAAGAAGAAAATAATATAAAAAGAAAGATTAGAAACATACAAAGAAAGAAACAAACAAATAGATCAAAAAGAATATGTATCTTACAATTCTAGTGGTCCTCTTCTTCTTTTGTGAAGGAGGTGGAGGACCTGTACCTTCAATATCACCAAAATCGGATTCCTTGTCCTTATTTGATTCAGATATGTGAGATTGAGATTGAGATTGATCATGTCCTTCATTTGAACCTTCATCAAAATACAATAGGTGAAGATGTATCTGTCAGTATCAACTACTGTAGCCAACAAAGAAGAGAAGATCATCAAACTTACCATCTTTGTTCTCGTCTTTGTTCTCATCTTCATCTTCCTCCTCTTCGTTTTCCTCATCTTCATCATCAGGTAACTCGACTACCTTCTTCTTTTTACTTTGAGTTCCATACCCGTCGTTACCATTAGCTCGAAGTTTCTTTGGAGGCATGATTGTTTCTACAGCTTTATAGGCTGGAAAACCGCTGTGTCGAATCGGTTTGGCATCACCATTGCCTTCCTATTACGTAAAGATTGTATTTCTTCACCTGAATCAACCATCTACATATATTATAGTTGATTGAAAGTCACTTACCTTTTCAATCCAGTTAAACCACCAATCCTTATCAGCACTGACCTTGCCGGTTACTGTATCGGTTCCAGGAGCGCCGGAAGACTCGATAATCTTGTCGAAAGCCTTGAGAGTTTTCTTTAACTGTGTACAAATGAAATAAACCATAAAGACAGAAAGAAAGAAATGAAACAATTGAAAGAAAGAAATGAAACGATTGAAAGAAATGAAATGAAATGAAACTGACCCTTTGAAAATGATTCTTTAATCGTCTCAAAGATGCGTTATTTTTGAATTTGAGGTTGAAGCTTTCTAAAACAGCTTTCCAACCCTCGGTCTTGAGGCCACCATCATTACCTCTACCAATATCCATTTGATGTTTAATTTCGTCGATGAGGTAAAGTGTTTCCTTATGATTCCATGAGTCACCAGATGTGTCTTTATCTTCTACTTCTTCTTCCTTCTTATCGTCCTTCTTATCGTCCTTCTTATCTTTGACTTGATCTTTTTTGTTATCTTTAACTTTAGTCGACTTGTTTGGTTTCGCTTTTGGTTTCGCTTTTGGTTTACTTTTTGATTTACTTTTTGATTTTGAGTTTGTAATTTGAATTTCTTCGGATTCAGAATCGGATGGAGCCATGATGTATTGAGAGTGGAGTCGACAGAAGATGAAGGAATACGAAGGAAGACGATGGTTTTGAAGTGAGAACGGTGATGGGTTTTGATGAAGATGGTGAATGATGGATTTGTAGAGGTTCCGTACGGTGGAAGGGGACTTGTAGATTTCAAGAAAGGTTTACGAAAAAGTCGAAATGTGATTTATGAAAAGAAAAATTCGATAAAAGTGAATTCTGTGAAATTGACTCACGAGTCACATTTTACAAGCATTCTGCACATTACAGAATGCTTGTAATTAACATATCAAACGCATTTCACAGAATGCGAATTCTTGACATTCAAGAATGTGAATTTTCGCAATAATTCGCTTAAGTGAACGCGGCCTAAGTTCATGTATGTATCTTCAATTTTTTACACTGAAATCAAATAACTGGATTTTCCTTCATATAGGTCTGATCTTATCAGGGGGTTCAAGTTGAAAAACCTAAAATATAACTGTGTCTATGTGTACATATAAGAAAATATTATAAAACAACAACCATAAGACAAGAAAACTTTCAAAGCGCACCATAGGCACAAGTCCACCAATGAAACATGCAGTTCCAAGAAGAAGTGCAAAGATGTATAATAGACTCTCTGGTATAATCCCATTCAATCCTTCTTTATCAGTTCATGTCACTACAATTGTAGATTGTGGACTATCTCAGTGAATGAACTTCTTTAATTGCTCTCGCGCCCAACGCAATGCCGCTTTTGCAACTCGGAGCAGGATCATTTTTGTCCAATCTCAAAGCTTGGTGAACTTTCATCATGCGCTGAAGAGTAAAGAGCAGCATTAAGTTGGGTCAGGTTGAGAATGAGAATGAGGCCGCACACGCTGTAGTCCACAAGCTGGTATATAATCTGCACACTACCACAAAATTCAACTTACAAGTATCCTCTGGCGGGAATGGCTTGGGAAAAGATGTGATTTGATTTGAATTAGCATCACATCATGATCTCACGATTTTGGATTTGAAGTGTCCAAACGCTGATCCTAAATATATGTGACATTACCCAATCACAAAACTGAGATTTTTGCCTCCTGCCATCAGGATCCGAAGCTGATGGCTAACTAAGACAGCAGAGCTCTACGCACTGGAGTGGTAGTATTTTTTTGTAAAGATACACCACATTTTTACATTCGGACTGTCTGGTGGCCAATCCCAAACATGTATGACATAGCCCGATCAAAAGATTGAACTTTTGACCTCAGACCACCGGTGCTTTGACGATCTCGAGCACGCTTTGATATCATTAACCGGCGTGACTATAGTATATAGAACAGCGTAGAGTGAGAAAGACTTTTGTTTGACTGCTTTGGAAAACCTGAAAACACCCAGCGGTGCGCAGTGGCCCAAACACGCTCTAAGAAGCGTAGCGCTAAGTGCCGATGTCCACCGCTGTCAGAAATCATACATTGAGACACGTTCACAGTGTACACATTTTCCGTGTTGCAGAGCCAGTAACATATAAAGCTCTGTTGCCATCCAGCCCGAGCGCCCAACTATCAACTCGTCAAAAACTCACTTCGAATAATAGGCAAGATGAAGTCATTTCTACGCTTGATCTTAATGGCATCTCTCTTCTGTGAACGAATATCTGGACAGGTAAAGTTTCCTCTGCACAGCAAACTACCCAGTGAAGCTAGTTCATCTGCTGCCAAGATGGAGCCAGAAGCTATTGGGTTCGATAGGTTCACTTCCACCGCCTCCAGAGATATTCCTATTGCTATGAATAAAATGGGGTTCCTTCCTTCAGAGGAAGCGCACATAAACTCCAGAGTTCGAGATAGAGAAGACACTTTACATATTCCAACAAAAAGAATAAAGATCGAAGCAAACGAAGCAAGTCAAGACCCAGCATCCAGAAGCCGGGAAGCAGGTATCAGTACTGGTGCTCCCATATCTGTACCTTCACTACAGGCTGTGCTGTATTCATTCTTCTTTCAATCAGCAAAGAAACTCTTTGCAACTCCTCGATTTGACCCACATATCATCAAGCTAGCTGGTGGTATTCGAAGATTGATATCAAAGTCCCAGCCTTGGGATTTGTGGATTCACAAAGATCAGCGACTGGTAGTAAAGTGGTTTATGACCGCGCATACTGCGTTGCATAAAGGTACCTTGAGTGAATGTGAAAGAACCTGGGCTTTAGGTATTGTTGCCGCGCTAGTCAAATATCTACGTCCAATAACAACGGACATTGTTCAAAGACTGAAGGAGGTCACTTGGAAGTATCATGTCTATTTGGAGATACAAGCCGCCCTTAGTATGACATACCTACACTTCTGTCATAAACTTGGTGCATGGTCTGATTGATGCGTTGATACGGCTTTTCTGAAACCAGAATTTGAGGTCTCACTGACAGAGAGATTCAAGTCGCTTTTGATGACTTCCCAGCGTCACCCCACCAACAAAGGTATGTAATCTTCCACAGCGTTCTGAGCAATCAGTTGCAAATTATTGAAACTCTGATACCTGTACCATTTCATCAGCTTTAGAAGAATGTTTTTCAAGAGCCAGACTGTTTAGATCACATGATGAAATTAGGGCAAGACACTTCCCAGATAAATGGGATGGAATTGATAACTTTGTCTCTGGCTATCTACTGAATGTTAAAATTCCTCAAGAAGACATGAGCATCAAGTACATGATCCATAAGTTTGCCAGTTATTTCAGGAATATTGAAATCCCCAGCTGGGAAGGAACATATGCCAAGGCAATATTCATTTATCTCATGAATCATTGGCAGGATACAGATGCAAGCTGTCTCAGCAGACTTATGGAATGGATTGAAGCAGATTTTGATCTCTACAGAGATCTTCATCTGCCTTATTTCAAGGCTGATGTCAAAGCAATTCTCAGTAACCCAGAAATTCTCTCAAGGGGTATAACATATGATGAATTGATTGATACTTCTAAACCATTTAGAGCACCAATATTCAAGACATTCTTGAGCTCCAGAGGAAAAGAAGAATTCTCAGATAGCACTCAGGGTGACATGTACAAATTGACAGTTATTGCATCTCTTATTCATCCATCCTTAAAAGAATTAGTTACCCAAGCAATTGACCAAAACCCCAGTATTATCCAAAGACTAGCACCAGTTTGGTTGAAAATGTATCCAGACTTGTCAGTGAAATCCTATCACCTTTTTGACTACCACTATATTACATTTCAAAAAAGTGAGTCAAACTGAAACCACTGAACCATGCTTGAAAAGGACTTTGATCAACTAATACCTATCTATTAGGGCCACAATATCTTGCCAGTGCCCATAGGCAATTGCTATTAGAAAAAATGTCTAGATACTCCAAAACTAAATCACTAGGAAAGTTTCTTCAGCTAATTCCACTAAATGGCTCCAAGCTTGATCCAAGCTTGGTAAGCAAATTACTTTGTCAAGTGGAAAATGTGCTGCATTCTCCTATGGATCACTTTGACCGTCTATACATAAACCTGATGGCACTTCAAGTTGTACAGCATATGATTAAATTTTTTGAAGATGCAACAGATATTGTTTTGGAGAGATTGAATAAGGATATCAGATTTAGGGGACAGATATATCACAGTATAGGACATGTGTTTGAGTCAACAAGGTTTATCAAAAGATTTCCACCAGTGAATGAATATGTTCTGATCTCTGAGCTTGATCCTTTTTTGACATCACTTAATACAATGATAGTGAGTTGTCCCCAAGTTTTGATTTCACTTACATGTCCATCTCTGTATCCAATGAATACTGATGAGCCTCTTACATGAAACTGTGATTTCAGGCTCCTCAATCAATTTGGGCTCTTGGGGAATTAAAAAACCCCAAGGACTTCATCTCTTTGTGGGCCAAAAAGCCTGAACTTGTGACTTCAGTGGTCACACTTGGTGATATGCCTGACCCCAAAGTAGAGAGCTTGCAATGGATACAAGAGCAAGTGAAACCTTAGGGAAACCAAAAACTGATGTTGGTACATGCTGTGTATTGAGATGAGGGAATTGGTGAAGTGTTGAGAAGCATTAATACAGAGCAGTCAGATTGGCTAGTACTCTCTCAGTATGCAGATAAGGAGCTGGAAAAGATATCTTTTGTGGAATGACCACTCTACACATATCAGTCACTATTTTTGCTATGTTTTTGTTTTTGTTTTTGTGTTGGGGTTCTCTGTCTCTCTTCAGAATCATTGGCCAGAGAAATTCAAAAAAAACATGTATCTCATTATCAATCAATTTAAGAACTTACTTTGATTAGAAAGTTTTTGAATGCATTTCACTTTTTAAATTAATATGTCTTGAAGTGTCCAAGGCTTGGATTTTATTACTTTATTTGTCTCTATTGGTATTACAGTCACACACAGACTGTGTAATGAGAAAGAAAAGAGGCATTGTCACCATCATCTACCCTCTTCCTTGGTTGTTTTCTTGTGTCACTCAGTTTCTCACTTGTGTTCCTCACTTTGATTTGTTTGGGTAATATGTTCTAGGCCCAGGTCACAATGTGTTACCAATTATGCCCCTTATGCTAGCACCTCCAGATGATCATAGGGTAATCCATATTTTGGAAGAATATGTCCTTATTTGAGGCAGCAATTCCAGGGTACTTGCTAAATATATATCACACTTCAATATTTCCTGGATAGAGTTCTTGTAACAAACCATTCTCTCAGCCTTCTTGATCCAGACCCTGCCCCTTGAAGTAGGTTTATACTTGGAATATTCACTATGGGCCTTGAGAAGACTTTTAGTTACCATTATTGTACTGTAAAACATGTAATGGCTGTCATGGAAGCTTATACAACTAACTTTATTTCCCAACAGCGACAGACCTTGGTCTTCCAGGGTCTTGGAATAAAAGCGCTCATGAGGCTGATTGATTCTCATTGAGGTTTGGATTCCAATAAAAACTTTATATTCAGCCACGAGCTCAAGGCAAAGATAGCAATAGGCTTTACAGTGCAGAAACACATCAGTAGTTTTTGGCTCAACGGGTTTGATAAGTAGTGAGTGACTTTTTTGTGAATTCAAATATTGCCTGATTTCAGTTGATCAAACAGTCTCTCAATTGTGAGGTCTCACAAGGGTGAGGTATGTCATTGATTTTACACAAGTAGTGATACAATCCATCCACAATTTCGACAGAGATTGTACATGCCTGATGGTCATGACTGCAATGGATTTCATCTGCAATTTTATTCTTCAAGACTAGATAGCAGTCTCCATATCACCTTATGATAATCTCAACATATTTGACCAATATTGACTCTAAAGTGCAAGAACAATCAACAACATTTTTGCGTGTTTTTGCATCAGTTGAACAGATCAGGCCTCAGGAAGTTCAATAGTCAGATATCAGAAAATCAGCAAAAAAGGTATAACTGCGGAGGACGGAGAAAGAAACATGCAAGAACAACCAAAACAGAAATCAGGTAGCATTAGATATAAAAAGTAAAAGAAGATTGTAATACAATAGATAGTCGATAAGTCACAGATCCAAGCAAAACCATAAGGAGAGTTACAGCTATAAGAAAAAGTAAGGATCAAAAAAGAGCTACATCGGGCCGGACTTCATTGTCACACTCCTCAGTATGGAACATTTTTACTATGGCTTCTCTAAAGCTTTAACAATTAACCAACTGGCTGCTGCAGCTGATCCTCCTACTACAATTGTAGCTGAACTAGCTTTCAAGTATCCAAAGAAACCAATCTTCGCACCAGTAAAATATGCCTGATCATACCAATCAAGATGAAAACAATTAATACTCCCATTAGGTGATAAAGCGGTGGCAACAGCCAAGGAAGTCAACGACGTTACTGACCTTAAAGATACCAAATATCAGTAAGGTGATAAACATGATTCCAATACTCCAGTAAAGTGCAATCTGTGCAGAATCAATGAAGAAGTATGGTGCCTGTTGAAAAAGATGACAAAAAGACTACAATCAGACAGATCATACTCATTGAGAAAAGCAATCAAAGCTTACCATAGGTACAAGGCCACCAATGAAATACGCAGTTCCAATAGTAAGTGCAGAGATGTACAATCGACTCTCTGGTACTTCTTCCAATCCTTCCCCAAATTTAAGCAAAAAGGCTGTCACTCCTACATCGTTAGCCCATCTTAGTTGACTAGGACCTGGTTCACTCGAAGCGTTACTCTTAGGTTTACGAGCCACAATCTTCATCAATTGACGAAGCCAACTTTCCGATTGGATAGGTTCATTAACTTCATTCATCTCAGCTTCAACTCTTAAAAGTGCACCAGTCACAGTTCGAGAAATAGATTCATCTAATCCAATAGGTCCTAACACTTCGTGTACTTCTCGTTCCATTTCACCAGAGCAAGATCGTGCCACTCGTTCACGGGTAGTGCGTTGAAGATAACGAAAATGGTCACGTTCTGCCTCGCTCGCAAGGTATCCACCTACTCCCATCGAAATTGCACCTGAGATGAGCTGTAGGAGATGCCCAAGATGAATGAGTAAATCAGGTGTTACACGGAGGATAGCATTTTGATACACACCTCGGCAATACCTCCTACTACGACCAAACGAGACGATCCGAGAGATGACAATCCAGCGGTCAATCCAAACGGCACAGTAAGGCCATCACTAAGACCGATGATGCTGTAGCGAGACGAAGGTATTGGTCAAGAAATGAAATTGTATTGCTAAAATGACAAGCACGGGTAGTCTTACATATCACGAACGATATCAGGATCGATAAGATGACGATCGTCATCACCCTTGAGATCTCGACAACAGATTGCTTGTGGTCTTTTATGTTTGTCACATTTGTCCAATGTAGGGGTAACAGAGAGTGCGGAGGAGGGTCGCTCATCATTCTGGTTCGATTCCTCGTTAGTATATGCCCATACGGATGGAGGCTGAGGATCATCTGGATTGACTCGATTAGATGATGGTTTTCGTTTGATAGGCATAGAGAGTGGTGGTGCTGTGGCTTGCGTGCTAGAGTTTGCTTGGGAGCTCAAGTCACATGAGCGACTGTTCGATAATGGCGCCTTTGACATGACGAAGGGATGTTGAACGAGTATGTATGTAAGATGAAGAATTCCAAAGAGAAGGAAGATGAAGGCAATTGCGGAAAACCTTTCAAAGCAAATCAAGAATGGCAAAATTATTTTGTTGACTGACCTTTCACTGACTATATATGCACCAAATTTCAAATACCTTGACCTGTAATCTATGTGACACTCAGTACCAATATGACTCTTCTGGCAGACTGGAACAAGGTCTCAAAAACAGATTGTGTGTCGCAGCTCGCTACATCCGAATCAAGGCGAGAGTAGCGTGAGCAGGAATAAAACAACAGGCGAGACACGCACAATTTTATTCCCCACATCAAGCAGTATCGATGAGGAGACTCGTTTGACTCCAGTTTCGCAAAGGAAGAACTCGGATACTTCATTCCCGCCTAGCGCGATGTCCTGAACGCAAGTTATGAGGGAAAGATGATATTTATATACACGATTCCGTAGCTTATTTATACTATTCCTCGAGTGATGGAGAGTAAAAGACAGGGTCAGATGGGATCACGTGGAGATTGATTGTTCGGCAAGGCCGTCTACGCTGGCCCTCTTCCAAGCCTGGTATACCGAACTTCACGCGGCCATTACATCATGATTTTACATTTGGTGTGTCCGACCGCTGATAGTCACTGGTGCTGACCAAACACGGATGACATTTTCCGATCGAAAGATCTATAAATTCTTCAAGTCTTCGATGAAGCTTCTCGATGGCCGGCCTCAGCACAAAACAGCGCAGCCTGTATGTGCTGCGTCGAAATTGTCTGCTTCAGTGCGTTGCGTCGGATTGCAGTGATGGAAGATCGAACAACGACAGTGGTGCACTTTGTGCTACTTAATGGCGGGCTACAATTTGGTTTTTGGAATGGACACATGATCGGACTTGCACAAAATTGCCTCTCCTTGTTCTTCTCCTTTCGACCCTTGAAAAGCTTCACGGCTGCTCCAGTGATTTCTCCTGAACACTATGAAGGAACTTCCTCGACCTGCTTCATCGGCCAGGGGGGCGCAGGGACTGATCAAGTCAAGATTGAGCTCAAGAAATGTAAGCAGAAATCACCTTAAGTCAATGGTGGCCAGAATGCGCGTCCCAGCATGCGCTGCGACGTGAGCATCGCAGTGAAACGTTGTCACATTCACGATATCAGTCGAAGCCATATACAAACTCTGCAGCCCGAGTACCCAGATAAAAAAATCAAAACTTGGCCTCGAAGAACAGACGAAATGAAATCACTCACACACTTGATTTGGCTTGCATCGCTCTTCTGTGAACGGCTGTCAGCACAGGGCACGGTTCCTCTGCTCAAAAACCTGCCCGGTAAAGCTACTTCATCGGCTGCCAATGTTGGACCTGACGTTATCATGGTGGATAGGTTCACGTTCACCGCCCCCGAAGAAATTGCTGATGTGAAGAACAAAATCGGTATACGACCTTCAGAAGAAACAGGTACTTACTCTAGAGCTCATCATGGAGAAGACGATTCGGATAATCCAGCAAAAAAGATAAAGACTGAACCGACCGAAGAAAGTCAAGACCTCAACTTTGGAAACAAAGAAGCACATATCAGTACTGATCTTCCCACATATGCCCCTGCACAGGATGTTGTGCCTTATTCGTTCTTCTTTCAGTCAGCCAAAAAAATCGCGGCAACGATTGATCTCGATCACAACATCATGAGTTTAGCCAGTAATATTCAAATATTGATTGAGAAACTAGGTGCAACTTCTCAGGTTTGGGAGTGGTGGATATACCAGAATGAATTACTGACACTGGAGTGCTTCATAAATGCACACACTGCTTTGCATAAAGATGGCTTGGGAGAATGTGAAAGAGCCTGGACTTTAGGAATTGTTGCCGCGCTGGTCAAACATTTACCTTCGGTACCAACAGAAATGGTCCAAAGACTAAAGAATTCGCTTTGGAAGCACCATGTCTACTTGGAGATCCAAGCAGCTATCGGTTTGTGATATCTTTGTCCATGTGGTAAATCTGTTCCACAGCGCTGATTAGTGACATGATATGTCTTTCATGAAACCAGAATTTGAGGAACCACTAACACAGAGATTCAGTGCACTTTTGATGAATTCCCAGCATCACATGACCAACCAAGGTATGTTATGATGCCCTCTCCTGCTTTGGAAAGATAAGTTTCAGATAATTGCTCAAGTTCTGACACTTACATCATTCTATCAGGTTTGGAAGAATGTTTTTCCAGAGCCCAATTGTTCAAATCACATGATGAAATCAGGGCAAGATACTTTCCAGCAAAAGAGGATGGCATTGATGAGTTTGTGGCCGATCATTTACTAGATGTCAACATTCCTGAAGAAGAAACAATAATCAAGTCCATGATCCGTGGCTTTGCGAATCATTTCAAGAAGCTAGAAATTCGTAGCTGGGAAGGAACATATGCTAAGGCAATCTTTATCTATCTCATGAACCATTGGCAGAATAGAGATGCACGACGTAGCAACACACTTTTGGAATGGATTCAGAATGATTTTAATCTCTACAGAGATCTTCATCTTCCGTTTATGAAGATTGATATCAGATCAATTCTTGGGAACCCAGGGATAATTTCAAAGGGTATAAATTATAATGAGTTAATTGATATTTCCAAACCACTTCGAGAAAAATTATTTCAAGATTTTTTGACATGCCAAGGGAGGGACACCTTTTCAGCCAGCACACAGAGTGACATGTACAAGCTGACAGTTATTGTATCTCTCATTCATCCATCCTTGAAGAACTTGGTTACCCAAGGGATTGACCAAAACCCCGGCATTCTACAAAGACTAGCACCAGTTTGGTTAGAAATGTACCCAGGGTTGGCAGAGGGATTCCATAACTTTTTTGAATACCAGTATGCTCCATTTCGTAAACGTGAGTGAAAGTATTCCATCTGAATTACACTTGAAAAGATCTTTAATCAGCTGACACCTAAATTTAGGTCCAACCTATTTTTCCGGTGCCCATAGGTTATTATTATCAAGAAAGATGTCTCAATTCACTGCAACAAAATCACTCTCAAAGGCCTTTGTGAAAGCTCCACTAAATGTTTCCAAGTTCCAACCAAGCTTGGTGAACAACTTACTTTCTCAAGTGGAAAATATTCTGAATACCCATGTTGAACATAATGAAATTCCCAAGGTATACTTGTTGGCCCTTCAAGTCATACATCATATGGTCAAATATTCTGAAGGCGCAACAGAGATTCTCTTGAAAAAATTGGACCAGGACATAAAGTTTAGGCAAAAGATATATCTGAGTGTTGATCATGTGCTTCAATCAAATATATTTGTTGATAACATAGCACAGATAGATGAATGTGTTTTGGTTTTTGAACTTGAACCATTTCTGACTTTACTCAAAATGATCATAGTGAGTTCTCCAATAGTCTTGAATTCATTCATAACTCTGCTTCCCTATCAAATATATATTGATAAACATGACATGAATTGGTGCTTCAGGACACTGGACCAATTTGGGGATGGGGGGAAGTCAACAAACCAGCAGAAAATGTCACTATGTGGGCCAAAGAGCTTGAACTTGCAACCTGCACTCATCCAGTCATCACATTTGGTGATCTACCTGACCCCAGAGCAGAGAGCTTGCTATGGTTAAACAAATGAGTCTAATCCAAACAGAATGAACAATTTTTGATTCTTCATGTGAGTTTGCCTCCCAGCTCATGGGATAGTCTATCAGGTGTAAAAAGTCTTGTAAATTTTGCACTTTTTTTATCCTTCTATGCCCCCTTGCCATAGGAAAGAGCTTGGAATATTGATCTAGGTTTTTGAGAGACTTGGGGTCCGTTCGGCTGCGCCATCTCATCTGACATCCAACTGGGCCTTCTGCTAAGCTTAACTAAGCCCCTCTCCCGCGGCTGCGTCCGCGACCTCGGAGAGGGGCTTATCGCAGAGACGCGATTTTCGGCGGAGGACTTCCAAGAATTAAGTACTGTTAAGTACTTTCTTCAACTTGCCCTCAACACCTCTCCACAAAAAGTCCCAGATACCTCGTATGTTGTTCTTCAAAGAGTTCTACATATTTTGGTACTATTTTCAACACAAACAGACTTGGTTTGCCATTGATGGAGCCATGACCAATTGTGGTCGTTATGTATTCCTGTAACAGCCTAAGATTGGGTGTACAGGCGGCCAATCAGATTTGGTCGATTTGTTCTTGGACAATTCGAGACTAATCCAAAACCTGGGTCAAAAGGGTTATGACCTAGGGGCTGTAGGCCTTAGATATCCTAGAGCAGTAAGTGTTAGGGTGGGCGACCTTTCCAAAGACCCGTCATCCTCGCGCAACACTTTGATTTCACCCAACTACGTCATGATCACTCGCTCTCAAGGAGCCATATTGCCACCTTCGCCTCATGTTGGAAAGACCTCAGATTCCTCTCCAGCTACCACCAAAGCAACTCTTAAAGGAATCCGACCATCAATCTCAAAGTTATTACTGAAGGACAACGATGAAGAGCTGCGTGAAGTCATACTTGAATTATTTTACGACAAATATAACGTTATTGCTCGAATGCTCCAAGTGGACGCGACAATCAGTCTAGTTCGAAATCGGGACGTATTTCTCCTTGCAAGTACCGGCTACGGGAAGTCTCGTATACCGGAATTGTTCTTTTTGATGTTTACCAAAGCCTGCGCTCCGATCATCTTGACTTTGAATCCTTTGGACGCCCTTGGGGACAATCAAGTAAGTTATACTCCTAATATGTCTCTGTTTGCGATTTGACAAACTGTCCTCATTGCACAGGTTGAAGAAAAGGCTAGACATGGACTATCGGCAATCAATTTGACCCGGGCATCCTTCACTAAAATCGTGTACAAAGAAATTCTCGCAGGAAAATACCAATTTATTTATGTTGTAAGCCTTCAACATTTAGCCGATTGTGATGTGGTGAAGGTATAGCTAACATATTCTGTTTTTTGTTTGATAGTCACCTGAGATTTTTTTGAATAACACTCATTTCGAGCGTCTCTACTTTTCGAAAGCGTTTCAGACCCGCCTGGTCCTCAAGGTAGTCGACGAGGCTCACCTCATCTACTGTTGGGGCCTTGCCTTGAGTGGCCGCATCAAGAATCTTCGATGCTTTCAAATTTCGCAAGATCACACCGCTTTTCGGCCATCTTACGGTAATCTGATCGAGCGATTCCTAGCCACCGAATCAGTCCCGACTCTGCTAATGTCAGCAACGTGTCCACCTCGCCATTTCGAAAAGATCCTGGCAAGTCTCAAAATATCCAGAGATGACATAGACATCCATCGAGGCGAGCTTGTTCGCCCCGAAATACGTTTCATCCGGGTCTCTAACAGACACGGTACTTCATCAATGGACTTGCTCAAGAAATTTTTCGCACCATCTTCTGTAATAGGTGACTCAGAGCTAGTACCTAGCCTTGTCTACTGTCATACTCAAAACGACACGTATCTAGCTCTAAAAGCAATCAACTCAGCTCGTAACATCCCAAGTGAATCTCGCAATGGCTTGAGTTCATCGGTCCGGCGATATCACGCTTCAACCTGCCCGATTGACAAGGCTCGTCGTGCTCTCGACTTTGGAAACGGCAAGTTCTCGATAATGACCTGTACAAACGCCTTAGGTTTAGGACAAAATTGGACTCGTGTGAGAAGGGTCATCATTATGGGTCAGCTAGACCCGATGGAGTTATTGCAAATGGCTGGGCGAGGGGGTCGAGACAGACAACCATCAGTGGCTTTTCTAATAGTCAATCAACTCGCTCAGGCGGACAAGGATAGACTGATGGCTTTACCGCATCAGTCTCAGCAAGATAATGACCAGCATATGCATGCGATGAGCATCACTGACGTATGTTTACGAGTCGCGTTTGAGGTTCTTCTACGGTGAGTAGTTCGCACTTTGACTCATAATTTCTTACATTATAAATGTCTTATATTGAATTTCATTATAAATCTGACTCGACGTTGAACTAGATGTAACTACATCCCTGTGTCCAAAAGCGATCAAGCCGTTATTGCCGAAACTCAAAGGCAGGCAGATGCAGGCATGGCACCATGCCTCTGCTCGAACTGTGATCTGAATGCGGCAAATTTTTTCCTTGCTCAGCAAAAAAATTTGACCTCTACGAATTTTACTGAGTTGGTACTCAAGAAGGACGTTCCAGCCAATCAACCCGATTTCAAACTCGCCGCGGAGGATTTGAGTCCTCATGATTCATCACTCGAAACCCAAATGCGTCCGATTCGTGAGGATCATCCTCTATACCAAGACATACGGTGGATTCGATTGTACTTGCGCATTCAATCAAACCTGCAGGCGATATTTGACACTGAATATCCTAAAGATTCTTTCTATACTCTTGACGACCTATTCTCGCCAATCAAACTTTGGACTGTGTGCATCAACTACGATTTTGTTTTTCAAGGACTACATTTGGATGATGTGTTTGGTAGCGAACCACTGCCAAACACATATGGTTCAATACTTCAAGACATTCGCGCGTGGAAGGCAAGTACTGACTCAATTGCCGTATTGCACCCTTCAGAAGCAGAGATGAGAATGTATAACGCAGCCAAGGCTCTCGCGAAGGAGAATGAATCAAAGAAGAACGATGCAAAAAAGAACCAATCCAAAAAGAACGGAAGTGTCATAGTTGCTCCACAAAATGACACTGAGATGGTAGCTCAGGTACTCGCTTGGCAGATCTGATCATATATATATATATATCATATTGCTAATGTTTGATTTTCTATTCACTTTTAATAATGGCTATGCAGGCTTTGACTGCATCAGGCGACCCCTTGACATCAAAAGGTACAAAGAGCAACAAGCGAAAACCACCTCCGTACCAAGGTAAAAAGGGGAAATCGCCGAAACGTAACAAAACGGCCTCTTAGGTATCCTCAGGCTCACCTGGCGATTCTTCACAACTCCCTTCTACATCCACCACCTGATCTCCTAAAGACCCCCATCGGTAACGAGAAACCTCCTTGTTTTTGCGGTCTTGTAGAATGTGCTCTTGTAATGTGTTGGTACCCGTTAAAACGGTATCGGTAAACTGACATTTGACGGTGGAAATTTTCGAAGTTATGTATTGATGATTCCAAGAGCGGATAAAGTTGGCGAGTGTCTGTTCTGATATTTGGTGGGAGTGATTCTGAAAAACCGGCTTAAGTCCGCTGCGAATTTTCAATTGTTGTATCAGCTGTCTTAGCTGAACATTGGGTGTTCAGCGTGGTAATGGAATAAATTGATTCATTAGTGTGAAAATGTAAAATCCGAGCAATGATTCACTGGAAAATGACATACAAATGTAATGTTGATTGACATAGCAATCAATTTTTCAATCTCTGTTCCATTACTCTGGGTTAGAATCCCATCAGTATTCATCCAAAGAGTAACTGGAAAAATACTGAACACTGGTCACTCACAGTTTGGTTGAAATAATGTTTGAGCCAAAAATTTTGGTACTCAAGCCAAAGATCATTTCCTACAAAGTGTCCTGGGCGCTGTCCAGATGGAATAAGCATACTGTGCAATATTACTTTTGCTAAAAGCGGAGGTAGGTCTTGTTCCACAAGGACAAGGAATCTTGTAAGATGTAAAGCATAACGCGGCAGGCCCTTCAAACCATGTGCCATCAAAGCCCACCGTTTCCACATGAGCTTCAACCTACCAATATCACCTGCATGTGTGGCACTATCTGCTTCAACCACCGTGGCAAAATCACGAATCCGTAGCCTCAAATTATACCCCAAACTGTCACCTTTAGTTTTACACGACTTCAAAGAACCAGGGCTGCAAAAATTGTTGTAACATTTATTGATCACTTCCTGGGCAACACCTTCTTTTGAAAGGTCAGGAGGACTTTCATATTTTGACATGGTCGAGCTATATGTAATAGTTACAAATAAATATTAACAAATAGTCCAAATCTCGATCTGACATAATTAAACAAATTTTGCTCACGTTAAACAAGATACCAAAGTTGCAAAGTGAACGGAGTGGAGAGCTTTCATAACTGTCCCAAAATCCATGTTACAAGGTAGTTTAGATTGAGCACCTTGCAATCCCCCCAAAGCCTGCCATGCTTTCCACGCCCCGGTGTCCTTAGAATCATGGGGATTACCCCAATGGTGAGATAGTATCCCTTGAGCGAGGTTCCACATGATATGGGATACACCGGGTATAGTCAAAACACTGCTGAGGGCCCCTACATCAGTACCGGCAGGACACCTTTTTTTTCGAAGACTCTCGATATTTTGACACGTTCCAAGGTCGCCTTGGACAATTCGAACCCATTTTGACATCGCTTCAAGAGTGAGGCCGCATTGAGATGCGATTTCGTCGAATACCTGCGCAACCCCGTCTGCCGAGTTGTCGGCCGCGTCCATGAGGCTCATCAGGAACAAATGACGATCGTCCACTGGAATCGGGTCAACTGGAGGTGGCCTTGTTGCTAGTTTGGGCGATGGAGTTGTTCCAGGTTTAAGTATATATTTGTACATGACCGTGGCTAGCTGACATTTCAAAGTTGACTCCCACTGGGTCATATCGCTGGCTTGATCTCGTAATGTATCCAACCGAATCGGAGTATTCTGAGCTTCGGCTAGAGTTTCATGGTAGTTTTTAAGGTGATTGCTGGCATTATCTTTCGAGATGTCTTTATCTAAGCATTTCGGTAAAAACTGAATATAGCCCCATGTCCCATGGAATAGATGGGACACAGTCTCTACACGGGTATTGTGAACCCTTTGTAATATATCGAAGTTGTCAATGCATATGATCGGGCTTATGCTATAAGACTGGGACATAATAGCTCGTAGAGAGGCCTCTCGCACGGTTCTGAGATGATTTAGAGCCCTTAATGCTGTATCGCGAGAACTGGACAGACCTAGAGTATTCAAGTATTGAAATACTCTATCAGACACTCCCGTCGCGATGAAAGTCAAAGCGTTGTGCAGCTGGAGCGCGTTATCCCGGTAATTAGACATGTACGAGATCATGCCGCATATTGTGGTCGCAACCTGAAGATATTTCAAACATAAGTTTGAGGACTGATGATAAATAGTGAATTAGAAAAAGTACTTGCTAGATTTGCTCGGTCTCTTTCGGCAATGTGTTTGTCTTCTGGTACATACAACATTTCCTCATCATGACGGGCTTCCCTCTCACCAACGGTTTCAACAGTAAGACCTGAATCATCAATCGGTTCTGTTTCTGGAATTTCCTCTTCCAACGTGTCCCAAACGTTGCTGCGCGACGCGCCGGCCATTAGAGCTACACGATTATTTGCTTGAAGAGACATTTGATGATACATAAGGTTCCACAAAAAGGGCATTGATTCCCTGATTTTTTTATCGCGCGCGTATAATTGACCAAGCTCAAAGAACTCGGTTGTGATCTTCTTTGAACTGTAAAAACTTCGAGGTTTGGACTCGATTTCGTGTTGAATCTGTTCCTGCGCCTATCACAACCACCATCAATAATAAATATATATGAGTAAAGACAAAAGAACGCGAAGAATGCTCACCTCAGTCAAAATGAATTTGCACCACGCAGCCCGGCCTTCCTCACTTTGGTGAGTGAGAGTCTTGATTGCACGCACAATCTGAAAAGTGGAATTTAGACCCCTTTCAATACCCCAGTATTGACGACTTTCTTTCAGAACTGGATTATCCGAACATAAAAAAGAGTAGAAGACCTCTTTAGCGTAGGTCTGATGTTGTTTTGCAGTAGTACATAGCTGCACGGCAATTGACTCGATGAAGGGACGCTGTCGAATGTTTCTTTCTTGCTCGATGGGAGGACGCAGGCTGTTTTCTTGATGTTGCATCTTTTCACAACGTTACGTTCTGAAGGGCAGCCTCCCGCCCCCCTCAGTTGTCAAGCAACAACCTCTCACAATTTTTTTACCAATTTTTTGTGGTCCACACAAGGGCGCGCAACCACAAGAGCCCATACATAACCCCACCGTGCTCAGCCTACTAACAAGGCAAAAATAAGACAAAACCCAAATAGGTTTTGCCCGGAATTTTGGAGTTTTGACCCCAATAATCATTTCCGGGATTTTTGACTGACAAATACAGCTACACATACAATAAAGCTTACCACACATTCTGCAATCCTTGCTTCAGAGTAAACCACAAGTGTGTAGTACCAAAATATGTAGAACTCTTTGAAGAACAACATACGAGATATCTGGGACTTTTTGTGGAGAGGTGTTGAGGGAAAGTTGAAGAAAGTACTTAACAGTACTTAATTCTTGGAAGTCCTCCGCCAAAAAACCCGAGTCTGCGGTAAGCCCCTCTCCGAGGTCGCGGACGCAGCCGCGGGAGAGGGGCTTAGTTAAGCTTAGCCTTCTGCCCAGTCGGGGTCGGGCAAAGAGATTGTCATCCTGATTTTTGGTGACAGATGACGGTCAGATGGTCTCCAGATGTGCAGCCGAACGGACCCTTGCCTTTCTGGCATTGGAAAATGCATCATAGCTGTCAAGAAGGCTGGTACTTACTCAATTTCCTTCCTACAGCCTGCACTCAATTGATTGAACATCCGTAAAGAGGGCACAGATAACCAATGCTACCCTTGTCCCAAAATGGGCATTTGTCATAGATCATGATGCTATATCTTTGTTGAAATTGTGGACGAGTGGCAGCGGTTGCACGCGTATATAGTCTCCAGATCTGCCTCTGAGCTTACTCGCATCTTTTTGCACCTCACGACTTCTCTTGACGTGCCCGCCTCCCAATACTCCTAGCTTCCACGCGAAACACGCCAACAATTGCCCACATCTCACATTTCGGGGGCGTCCAATAGGCAAAAGATGCCAGGAAGATGATGTGAAAAAAGGGAAGAGTTAGGCCAGCCCGACCAGCCCCAATTTCGGAATCTTGGCGGACTGCGCATCTGTTCGGGGGGCGGGGCCGTCACGCTAAACCTAGTAATGATAAATGCTACGCACCGCAGTCGTCCCGGATGCCTCACAATAATCGTACAATCCTTGTTGGGGCACGGGGGCCCAACCACTCTCAACGACCGCCTCAAGAGCAAACAAGATGAGGTATGCTCGAGGAACTTATCCATTGAAACAATATGCCGTCTGAAGCAATCAGCTCACGACTAAATTGACCTTCTTGCTCTCTATGTCGGTCACAGTAAACTTTCAGTGTCAAGCGTGCGAACATCGGTCCGTGGATTGCTCGAGGCTAGCAATGGAGAGAAGAAGCGAAAGTTCACCGAAACTGTGTCAGTTGCCTCCCAATAAAATACCATATGATTTAGCTTTTTCATTAACAAACGTCGTATTTGCCTTTAGTGAACTTCAAATCGGTTTGAAGAACTACGATCCTCAACGGGACAAGCGTTTCAGTGGAACTATCAAACTCTCCCATGTTCCTCGTCCCCGAATGACCGTATGTATCTTGGCTGATGCCGCCGATATTGACAGAGCTAAACAAATCGAGCTTGGTACGTTTTTTGCTTCATTGGCCCGATATCGCCGATCTTCTGATGCCAATGTTTCATTTTTCTAGAATATATGAGTGTCGATGATTTGAAGAAGCTCAACAAGAACAAGAAGTTGGTCAAGAAGCTTGCCAAGAAATACGACGCCTTTTTAGCCTCTGATGCCTTGATCAAGCAGGTGCGCCCTGATTTCTCTTCCTCACCGTGGACCCTAGGCTGTCGAGACTAAAGCCATGTTTCTGATCCACCCAGATCCCCCGTCTGCTCGGTCCTGGTTTGTCCAAGGCAGGAAAATTTCCTACCCCAGTCTCGTCAGCTGATGACCTAACCAACAAGGTTACCGACATCAAGTCGACCATCAAGTTCCAATTGAAGAAGGTACTCTGTCTTGGTGTCGCTGTTGGTCACGTTGAAATGACCGAAGACCAACTCCTCGGTAACACCATGTTGGCCATCAACTTCTTGGTATCCCTCTTGAAGAAAAGTACGCTACAGTTCACATTCTTGTTTTGCTTGACGATTCGACTGATATATCTTGCTGTTTACCTTAGATTGGCAAAACGTGAAGTCCCTTCACTTGAAAGCCACCATGGGAAAACCTGCCCGACTCTTCTAGGCTCGTTGTCATCCTTGCCTCTTCGCATCCTATCTAAATGCCTGTCGTATCAAATAGCCTTCGCACGCTTATACCAACCACCCCAGCTCGCAGGGCTTGGATTGGGAGCTGGACATTTTACCACCTGATGCAATGCAAATTCTCAACGACCTATACAAAAGTTACGACTGGCGTGCTCAGTCTCCTTTCCCGTCTGCTTCTTTGCAGCCAATTTTGCCACCGTGCATTGCCATGAGGGTCCTCAGCCCGATTCCATATCTTGAGCGCGTCCAACAAATTATCCAGATAATCTGTTGTTCTTCATAGGTGCATATCTTACCTCCCCAGCAGGCTAAACTGACAAGGTTTCCAGACGCCGCTCGTAATTGCTCTGGATTATTTTCATTGAAGTCATCAGTCTTGTGATTGTTCTCATCTGCTTGCCAACCTTGATACAATGCAAGATTGTGTTCACTTCAAGCCGAGCACCCTTGAGGCTCCCTGAGCACGCTTACAGATGGGGACGGTGATATCAGAAAGACCAACTCAAACCTTGAACCGACCCTTGCAAACCATCGGCATGTCACTTGCACGATAGGTCTGCCTCCTTCCGCACAAGATGGGAACCATGCAACATGAAACTATGTCTGGCAAACCATCCATCACCGGTACATTCCTTACAATCTCAACTTGTGGGGTTTTCAGTCACCTCGCGTGCCAACAATTCAAGAACCATCTTGTCAGTTTCAAGTCGAATTATAAAGCTTTTGAACGTTGAATAAAGTCTTTTCGTCTTGGAGCATAAAGTTTCCTTCTGCTTCAACCTCTTTGGCTATATCCTCAGATGTTGACTTCACCTCTATCCTCTATGAGTTGGTACCCCACGCGTGTGGTACAAAGTCGAAGATATCCCTCCCCCTCGCTCGACTCAATTATGCACTTGTGAGCGAGAGTGAGGGCCTTTGTTGAGTTTCCGTCCGTCCGATCACATGTTGTTTTGATTTGTGTGCTCTACCAGGACAAATCATCAGTATAATTTACTAGAAATGGCGATCAGTCCATTCAATTATGCATCCTTCAACGACGCTATCAGTCATAGACCATTCTTGCTCATGATGAAGATGCTTGCCAAGGAGCTACGGTTTTGATGGGTTTGATCTGCGCGTATTCAATAAATTGGTATATTGGAACATGACATCATCATTTACAAAATCGGGGATTAGAAGAAAAAGACCGAAAAACAGACCGAGACTTTCAACACAGTTCTTCATCCGGACATTATTCCACTTTGCCACCTTGTACAACATCATCACTGATATTTGCAAGTAGCCTAGAATACAGTAGTATTTTGATCGGTATGGTCTGTGATACATGCATCTCCGATGGAATGGTATATTGCATTAGTTACACAGAGAGCAAAGAGCATCGAAGGCTCGCAGAGGCTCACCAATTGAAAGGACGAGATGATACTCCTCACGAGGACGTGATGGCTTAAGAGGTTAGTGACTTGTTCCGATCACCTTTGAACTGATCAATCCTGAACACGATCGGTTTACCAGAGGAATTGAATATGAAATGATGGTGGCATCAACCGTCACCTGCTCGCTATCGCCTATAAAGAGTGACCTCAATCCTGGAATTGAAAGCTCTTATTGTTCATCACTCGCACTCATACACATTGAAGCAGGCTTCAAAAACAAAACAAATCACATATCAAAATTTTCTTTATCGCTTTTCTCAAGAATTTACTTAATCCTTTACTTTTTTTGAAGTCCTAAACCAATCAACATGTTGAAATTACACTTCGTCGTTCTTTTGCTCTTTATTTCACCTTTCATTCTTCATCAAACTTTGGCGCGTCCAACTGGTATTGGATTCAACCGTTACGATTCAAGCAGTGCTACTCTATCAAACATGAGAATGTCAAGAAGAGGCGAAGAAGAGGGCGCAAAGGGCCATGAAAAATCAGATTGCCCCGAGAAGGAAGAACAGAAAGAAGGCCAAGGAAAACCTGAAAGCAAAGAAGTAAGTTGTACTGAAATCGAATTGAATGTAATCAATTTCTTATCCCTCTCTCATCTATCAGGAACACGGTCCAGAGAAAACACCGGAAGGAGAAAAAGAAAAACCATGCCCCGAAAAGAAGGAAGGCGCAGAGGCAGGCTCTGTGAGTAGCGTTTATAAGATCATAGTTGTATCAACACAATCTCTGACTCTTTCACATCCAGCAGGAACATAGCCCGGATAAAAAACCCAAAGGAGAGCAAGAAAAACCATGCCCCGAAAAGAAAGAAGGCGCAGAGGGAGGATCCGTGAGTAGCGTTCATAAGGCCAATAATCTCATCAATCACATTGATCCTTTTTTCTTATCTCTTTTACATCCATCAGGAACAAAGTCCGGAGAAAAAACCTGATTGCAAAGAAGGTGAAGGAAAACCCGAGCATGAAGAGAAGAAAGAAGGATCGGAGAAACCAGAAAAGAAAGGACCAGAAGAACCATGTGAGAAGCAAGAAGGAGAGCACAAACCAAAACATTAGAATTATTTTATACCTTTGGGATTAGTTTTTGTTAGTATAATTTCAAAGTGTTGTTTCACAAATAATCAGTGATTGTTTCTTCTTGAGATTTATTGTAAACATTTTTCAATTTCCCTGTTTGTATATATTCACTTATTGTGAGTTCTAAGGAGGACTTATTGTGATTATTTTGAATTATATCGTCTCTTAAGTTATCTTAAATACGCAAACACACTCCCTGGCAGCCCTGATTCAAGCATTGCAGCTTAGGTTGCAGTGCTTCTGAGGGTGGAACTTGGCGGGGACCCGATACCTCTCACTTTTGCTGGACTAAATTCAATATTAGTTTATATGTTTCCTTTTCCACTATTTTGTCAGCATCCCTCATGGTCCTTTTGACGCGTGCCACATTTACTTCTTTCATTCATTCTCCTCAGAGTCCATTTATTTCACTTTTCAAAAGTCTTTTATCTCCAGTGTGCTGCGTTGATATACTCTCACCATTCTCAAAGAATATCCAATGCTCTTTACTTGAATAATTTTGATAGTGAATTTCATATTCAGGCTTTGAAGTCAAACAAAGTGCAACAAAGCACGTTTTGATGTTGATTCAAAACCATTTTTGTTTTGCAATAGAATGGGAGGGGAGACCCAGAAGTTTTTTTCTAAGTGATTTGGGGCTTATTTGCATACGACACTAATTATTTAAACTACTACAAATGATAGGTAGGACTAGAATACCATAAAGGATCGGCCACCTAATCGAGAACTGGGACTCCGGTGGGAGTTTGTACCCAAAAGATTGATATGGATCCGGAGCCCCTCCGGGTGGCTTCCAGGTCTGACCCGGACTTGCTGCCAGCCTTGGAGGTGCAGGGTGACGGGTCAGGGGTCATACTACATAGCCCTAGGTTAAGGTAAATAAATAGACATAAGAAGGGAATCAGATCGATCGATTTGATGCGCCATCAGGGTCGGTCACCATTTCGCTATTACACTTCATGTTCATCATCACCTTTCAGGCTTGAGCCGAATATAGTCCAAAACAACTGATCAAGATGAACAACCCACGAAAATCAAAGAGACGATCTATCAGAACAAGAGGAACTATTGAGACCCACAAAGATTTGATTTCTAACCTACCAGATGAGATACTTCTTGAAATTATAGAATGTCTTCGCAATGAACGTAGCTATTCTGTTCATTATCAACGGAAGATTAACCAGTCAATCAGTGTGGTATATTCAGATTATACTGGGAGCACATATGACACCGCGATAGCCGCAATATATCGATACAACCCAGAATCTCCGATCTTCAATAGCTTGCAATCTTTTTCTGTTGTTAATCGTAGGATTTATTCTCTCTGTCGTCCTATCATATGGCAGGTGAGCTCAATTTGACTCATTGGACATACTGAGCATCTAGACGGATCACGAGTATATACTGACGATCATCCTTTCTTTGCTTGGTTGTTCTAGTCCCTTCAGTTTTGGGCTGACCTTACTAGTGTAATTAGCTTCTGGAATCAAGAACTCTTACCGAAACATGGATCTTATGTTAGAAAATTGGATGTACAAGTAGATAGGAACTGGCTTAAAATACCAAACCTCCTTTCCGTTCAGCTAGGTACCCGAGACGAAAGTCTACATCCACATACAATGAAATCATCCGATATAGGCACAGTCGATATATCAGAGCATCATAAACCTATGTATGGCTCTGAGTTATCTTTTAGCAAACTTGCAACCCCCGTTCAGAAAGCTATCCTTGAAGTCGAACACGACATGGTGCTATTTGGAACAAAAGCTGTCAATGCCGAAGATCTTGTCAAGTTACTTTCTCATTGTAAAAAAATCACAACCCTCAATCTCTGTTGTGTTCATGACTTCAGGTATCCTACATCAGAAGAGATTCATAGCTCGACTTCTTACTTTACTTCATTATTTTCAAATCTTGCAAGTCTTCAACATCTCAAGGTAATGGGTTGTAGCTCGGCAAGGCTCCCAAGATTCTTTATTCAATCCATCACAAATATAAAACTCCTCGAATCACTCCATCTCTCGCTTATTTCACTTGATAATCTGGAACAGGTTGATCGAAACCTTGCTGCCTGTTTTTCAAATTGCAAGAACCTCAAGAGGCTTGTTCTAAGTTACGTGCGTGGAATAGAAATCTTGCAGGGAAGTTGTACAGGACCTCCGAATTTAGTCGATCTCGTGATTAGAAATTGTCCCGGCCTGAAATTACCACATATACCTCAATTGATCAGTTCTTGGGCACCTCACCTAACACATTTCACACTGAAATTATATGAATATGAGGATCCCTCCCTACGTGAAGACATTTTGGACTTCGACCCTAGGCGCAATCAATTTTATCTTCTGGGGTTGACACATCTCACTATACAGTCTCATTCCAAATCCCACTATATCCAGTGTTTTTCATCTTGTAAAAACCTTGTTCAACTCACATTCGTTCTCTGTACCAGCACCACAGAAGAAATGCCAGATGGACAGGCAGATGAACTGTCAGCAGTCTCAGACTTCATTACCACAAATGAATTCCATAGGCTCCAGAAGATAGTTTTGATAAAAACAGACCAGAATCCAATTGACTCGGTTTCAGCTTCTGCACTCTTTCCATTGGAAGAATTTTGCAGGTCTAAGGGTATCAAATTAAGTGGTTTTTGAGATTTTGTACCCTACAGCCCTTCATCTTGTGGGTGATCCTCAGCAATTATCTGTATGATGTCATATGATGCAATGATCATGTCTGTCCTTTTTTTCTTTTTTTTCTTATCATTGCGCTCATTTTGTACTCAACCTTATGTGCCGATATCTTTAATTTTCAAAATGAAACATCTTTTATGTTGGGCTGGATGTACGTAATGATTTCGGACTGTGTATCCTTCAAATATGGAAAAATGAGTGATTTACAAGGACAATTTTGATCACATGTTTGGGAATCTTGTTTGATCATAGATTTCAACAAAAGATGCACCTTACATCATTTTCTTTTAGTGCAGCTGAATGATTTTGATTAGTATGCTATATCTTGCAAATTCTAGCAAGGATTCAACCGACGTATCACTTTGGCTTCCCTTCTATGTGCTGAGCGCTACTTCTCTGGCCACATTGGGAGTAAATTTCTACGTGATTGATCATTCCAATTGTTGAGTGAGTTTGAATATTCTCTCAAATCTCAAATCATCCACTTCCTTTCTCATTTCCCTTGAGACCAGCATGGATGTATCTCAATTGTGATACAATCATCTGATTTCTCTTCAGTATTCGAGTCATACCTACTCACAAAGAGAAGCCCTTAAGAAGGTATTCATTTTCTCATTCAACATTTGTTGACTCCAGCAAAGACTGCATTTTAGCTCTTCATTGGTAAACTTGGAAGTTCAATTTTCTTCAAGGTAGTAAAACTTGGTTAAGGGGATACAAAGTAGAATCCGGGCGCATGCCCAGATTCAACACCCGACCTCAGCGCAGTACAGCGCAGAATGTGCTAAACTGGGCTGCGCCAGAAAAAGCGGATTTTGGCAAACCCACTGCGCTGCGCTGAGCCGCAGTTATCCAAATTCTGGTAGGCCCCTGCGCTGCTCTACAGAGCAGTCCAGCGCAGCGCAGTGGGCAAAAAACTGCGATATCAGGAGCGGTGAACAAGACTTGTTTCATTGTAAAAGAAAGTATAAAAAGCTGGCATATGTATAATGAAATAAGAGGGCATACAAATCAAAAAGGACGTTGGCATACAAAGAAGCAAAAGGAATCGAACTTTTAGAGAAAAAGATTAGATAAAAGATTAGATCGCAGAAAAGCAAGCCAAACCTTCACTTGCTTGAATTGTCGGCTTTCTTTTTCTTGGTCAAATTCTTGGCAAGCTTTTCGACAGCCGTGACAGCCTTTCCAATTTCACCACCTGGAAAGAAACCCTGTTTAAGCCATTGACACACACCTACTGCCCGTTCTATTGTTCTTGAGATAAGGCCACCCCTGCTGCTAGTACAGATGTGAGCAGCTGTGGAAAACGTCCTCTCTACTGTACACGAGGTACCCATACAGCATAGATAATTGCGAGCTAGCCGAGCAAGTCTTGGGAAAGACTTTTGATTGAACTGAAAAGATCAATGAGTAAGTACAATATGAAATTGTTTAATTGATTGAGAGTAAGCAAAGAACTTACTCGCCACCATTCCAAGATGTCACCATTACATGGATATTTTCCTGAAAGATACTGATCGATCTCGTCGTCACTGCTCAGTTGTACAGTTGAACTGGCTTCAAAGGCCCCGTTTTCTTCAAAAGGATCACATGATTTGAATGATTCAGGTTCAACATCCTGAGTCTCCTTATCTTGCTCGTTGTGATCTTCTCCTCCGAGGGAGGAAAGAGCCTGTCGAAAAAGGTGTTCGGCGTTGGGTGGCGTATGTTGGATACTTCTGGGGGAAGAAAATGAGACGATAACGTGGGTTGAGAAGTGTGGCTAAGATGACAGGATCACAATGTAACGACTCAGTTTGGTACAGTCGAAGCTGGTTGGTCATCGCACCAATCATTGTTGAAATCGCCAGGTGAGGTGTTTCGTTCTTCATCGTTGTTAATATGCTGATCAATGTCAAGTATTGAAATAGGATGGACCCAGCTGTTGGTCCGTCAACTTCCATCTTCTTAGTGGAGAGTAGAAAGACCTATGACTGATTAAACAAATATCAGTATGTATGTAAGTTGCGACCTAAAAGAACAAATCAATAACATACCTCAAGAACCTTATTGAGCGCCTCAACCCCTTTCCATTCGTCAGGGATGATGGTAATACCTTCATAATAGCCTTCTTGATCCGAACTGATCATAAAATTGATTACCTGAAAAATACACAATTCATCTATTACAATGCTCATTATACAATTAAGTCGTCACTTACCTGTTTTGCTTGGCAGCAGCGGGATTGAGCATCATACCAGATGTTCCATCTTTGGCCATGAGCTCCAATCAATCCGGGTCCTTTATAAGATAGTTGTTGAGCTGTAGCCTGAAAATGGTTGATTCGAGGAGCACTTGACGTGATCAACTTATTGATCCTTCGAACCTGTGATAACACATGTATTATTTTAAATCAACATGACCAAGCTCAAAGTACGGAATGGATTCGGAAAATGATTATGAAACAGACTGACCTTGGTCAGAGCTCGGGGTACTAGATCAGCATCAGGCCGTTGGTCTTTGTAATCTGGACCGTTGTGATCATCTTCGCCTTCGGAGTTGTCATCGGTGACATGAGTAGGATCACCTGTAATGTCATCTGGTGATTCTTCCTCTTCATTAACATCCTTTTCATCTTGAACAGTTGTGCCATCTGCAAGAACGATTTTGGGTGGTGGCAAGGAATCATCTGGTAACAAAAGTCGGAGTCTTTTGCCAGTCGGTGCTGTTGGTTTTGTTGGACCAGCTTGAAATCCAATCGTATCCAAGCCAGCTTTGACCGTTAGAGCAAGTTTATGACAGTAACATCTAATTTGGTTGCGCTTCGAGTTCCAATAATGTGGATCTTCAGCATCCAAGAACATCTTCTCAAGTTCTTGAGCCAAGACTGGATTGCTTGATCCTGAATCGGTTGTTTGGGCAACCATGTGTTATATTGAAACATTGATAAGCCCAAAAGTTGATCCGCATGATGTACAAATAAAAAAAACAAAATTAGATCACTTATCTTTTTATGCAACCCATGTCGTATCAGGAATCGTCCAACTGGTCAAGCCAGTAGGACACCATAGTGATTCCATGCAACAAGCTTCAATGTCAAATGCAGCACGTGAAACTTGAAGTCTTTGTCAATATATGACACAGCAACCCCAATAAACGCTCGCTTTCCCCCCTTTGTTGTCCAAACATCATGAATGACACAAATTTTCGAAGACAAATCCTATACCAAACATATATGTATTCTTTTCAATTACAGTAAAGATAAACATATCAGAACGTGCAAACACTCACTTGCAGAGTACCAATTAACTTGTTGTGGAATTCTTCAAAGTAGGTCATTGCCTGTCGAGCTGACCATGAAGCTGACCATAACTTTGCTGCTGGATTGCAAAGCACAAAAGCAGCCTGAAGGTATGTATCCTCCATGCGTAGCCATGGAATGCAGTTACGTAGGAGCCATAAAACTAAGATTGTGTTGAGTAACCCAACAGAAAATTTAGGCAACTCAAGAAAAGCATCAAGAGTGTGACTTCCTACTTCTTTCTGCACCTCTGCTCGTGCCAACTCTGCCTTCTTCTCCTGCCAGGTAGGAGGGAGTTTGGCACCTGCTTCAATGGCCCGCTCTCTTTTTTTACAGGGCTTGCGGTTACTTCCACCGTCTCAATGCTCCGTAAGATTCCAACGACTCTTGTCGCCATCCGTGAATATTTCACCACACCACAAGCATGTACGGCACCTGGGTTCTTCACCTTCTTTCTGATGAAACCAAGCACTAAGTAAGCAAACAACGGAACCAAACAATCTCATTGAAGATTGTGCAATACTTGACTTACTTGCCTTGGTCCAAGCACAAGTTCTTTGCCGTAGTAACTTTTGATAGGATCAAAGTGAGTTTCAGACTTCAAACTTTGAACATCAACATCAGAGTCTTGATCGGCATCTACGTTGTCAGGCATTTTGTAATTCTGATTGGGGTTTTTCAGTCAGCGGGTTTTGGATAAGGATTGAGTTTAGATGAAAAAAGTTACATACTTGTGACTTTCGAACTCTTTTTGCCTTTCCTTTTTTGACTGCCTTAGACTTTGACGCTTTTGGAGATTGACAAGTTCGTTTGCCATCTGTTTTAGACGGAGTGCTTTCAAATGAATTTTCGGCTTCTTCTTCTTCATCTTTGAGTTCCTTTTCTGTTACATAATTCTCATCATCAGAGTCTACATCTAAAACAATTGTGGTAGTATCTCCATCTGGCTTTTGAGAAGAAGTAGTAACTCTAGGATTAGAAGGCTTTGTAACCTTAGAATTTGAATTAGCTTGTTTCTTAGAAGAAAAGGATGCTTTTGATTTCTTGGATTTAGAGGACATTTTGGAAAGTGATAATGAGTTTTACTACAATAGTATATTAAAAGGGGTAATCAAGGGGACATATGTTTGTAAAAAACGAGCTGGAATTGTGTGATGACCAAGTTTATCAGCAGGGAGCGGGTCTTTATCAATCACGATTCACGACTCATACCTATCTATGACATACAAGTGATATCATGGCCAAGAGGTTATTCAAATCTCTTCCTTGATCAAGATGCCCGTAAGAATGGAAGGATGACAAAATGTCACCTTTATTTTATTTCAATAACTCCTCTCCCTTCACCTTGATCCATGAATCGATCCATTCTCAAGTCAAGAACAAAAAAGTCTAGATAAGTACCTAAGTACTAAGAGCATTTGTACAAAATCATAGAGGAGCGATTAAAAACCTCCCCACCCCTTCCTCAACATCTCACTGTATGTATGTAAGAATGAGCGCAGTTGGCACAGTTTCACCATCAAGTGAGGCCACTGCGCTGCGAAAACGCGCAGTGCCCAAAATTCAAAAAGCCCCTGCGCTGCAAAAACGCGCAGTGGCCAAAATCTGAAAAATCCCAGCGCTGAGCTACAGCGCAGGCACAGACTGTGCCTCACAGTCTGCGCTGCGAGTCGGGTGTTGC